GAGGTCAGGAATTCGAGTATCAACGACTGCAGTAAAATGATTGAGCGTTTATTTATCAAATGATAATAATATTTAAAACATATATTATTCTGAAAACTTAATTTTTTACCAGTATGTCACCGATAATGATTTATGTTTTATTTATATGAATTATGCATGATAAATTTTGAATAAATTAAAAATATATAATCATTTATTTTATGTAAAATTTGACTATTGTGTATAATAAAGATTAGTAATCTGATTTGGTATGATATAGAGATATTAAAAACATTATTAGGTAATAAATATATTTATATTATTAAATTTAAATAATAAAACATATGAATTAAAAAATGAAAAAAATATTAAGTACATTTATTTTGAACATGTAATTATAATATATATTTATTTTTTTAATAGTCAAGAGTCATTATAGGATAATATTTGTTCACAACTTGCAAATATAATTACTCGATCCTAAATTTTTTAAAGAGAATAACCTTACCCTTAATCACCGAATCTAGTTGATGAGTGCAATATATATATATATATATATATTTCGAATTAATATATAATAATTTTAAATCTATTATTAGATTATAGAAGATGCAAATTGAGCATGGATTGTGAATTGCCCGTCCAACTCAGTTGTTAGAGCGCAAGGCTCTTAATCTTGTGGTCGTGGGATCGAGTCCCACGGTGGACAATTCATAATTCTGACTGTCGGAAGTCTTCCACGGAAGTTGCTCTCAATCTGGCGTTGGGGGTAGCCTACTACCCTACCTTCCCCTCACCCCATTACATATGGGAATATGATCAGCTAATTTATTTTAAATTGAGCATGGATTGTGCACAGTCCTTAACTCCAATATGATTGGATCATATGCTTGTCATTGTTATTATTATTGTAGTGCTATTCCAGGAATAATACCATCTTTGATTAAAATTCTTAACAAAAGAGAATTGGAACATGAAAAGAAAGATGTAATAATATACACTACTTTTTTTTTGCCTCTAGAAGCTAATCCGAGTATTATTGAATAATCACTTATAGAATATGTGAACACATATGTTATTGATATGGTGGTGAGAATAGTTTACGTTAAAATTTAAACCTTAATTTTTAAGATAAATATTCAAAATCGAATTTATATAAAATGAAATAATATAGATATTTTGGCTACTTAACCAAACAGTGGACTTTTTTTTGAATAATGGTAACTGAATTTAATTAATAAAAATAAAGGAATCAAAATTACATCGCATCCAAAAAAAGAAAATTGGTCACAAAAAACTCATACATAAAATAAAAATATTAAACCCAAAGATACGAAACATTTCATACATCAAAACAATCCAGTAACATTCAAAAAACTCTTTGTCTATGCCGAACGAGACGCTTTATGATGTGATAAAGGAGTGATTAGAGAACCAAACAATTCGGTAGACTGTTTCACTATACAATTATGATTATATCGAGAAACGACCATTTACAAAAGAGGAGATATGACAATATATGACCACCGACAAGTCAATAAGAAAACAAATGAAGCGAGAATCTTTGTAGAAACACCAACACGACCACAGAAGCATGCGAAAAACTTACTGAAAACCATAAAGAATGTACTACAAGAGCAGAGAAAAAATATATCACAATAGCATAGAAATGTGTGTTAAGGACATATATTCTTATTTAAAAGTGAAAAAAATCAAGGAAAAAAAAAACAAAGACGTAATATGAAATGGAAAAGAAAAATTATAATCACTGACGGTCGACAACCAGTATTAAGATTGATGTCGCCGCTGATTAAACAAAAAAAAGGAAGAAAAAAGACGACATAAAAATATTGAGAGAAAAATTATGTTAAAAATATAGACCTCTTTTATTTTAACTAGAGTGTAGTTAATATTATTTATTAAATTTTTATTGTAGTTTAGGTCTGTTGTGTTAGTTCATAAAAAGCATGCAAACACGAAAGTTATAATATGTATTCAGATCTGATATATAAATTACTTTTTCTATAAAATTTAAGTTATCAAATTTAAAAGCATGCGAGTTATATATATATATTCGATAAAATTGGATTAAGTATAAGATAATATTTGTTTAAAGATAAACTCTTAATCTCTTAACATTTAACGTTCACACTCCTAACATTTATGGTGTTCGAACTCGGATCCTGAAAGAACAACAATAATTCCTTTACCACATAAACTATTTGGTTCGTGCAATGTAGATATGGATCATACAAATATACAAGTTTTTATATCATTAAGATTTGATTTATAAATTTTCTTAATTTAATATATAAATTTTATAAAGATATGCTTTTTTATATGATCAAAATCTAATCTCATTCAATTCTAAATCATATAAAATATTATATTGTAAGCATGTGGGTTATAGAGATATAGCTTTGCTTTCTAACCTACAATAATTGCTTTGGTAATGAACCATAGCTAAACTTTTTCTTCTTCTTTTAATATATTAAAATTCCTATATAGCTTTACATTTTAGTGAAATTCTCCTTTAATGAATAGATATGATTAATACTAAATCCTTTAAATTTCGTTAATTACTACATCCTTTAGTTAATAAAATGTGCAGGGACAAAACCCTGCATTTTGTGTAATTATATTCAAAAGATTAATGAATAGATATGATGACCATCTGATATACAAAGGATGGGATGTTTTTCTTTCTCAAGCTGTTTTAATATGTAGTAATATAATTTATTAGGGAGGTTTTTTAACGAGGTTAATAACGTTGCTATCGTTTCAAGGTTATCAATCATAAGCCTACTTTTTAAAAAAATTAATCTTATAATTAAAGATATATACATTAATTTAGGGTTAGAAAAATTCTCGATTAATATTTTTGATAAAATTTAATATAATCTTAATTATACCTAAAAAAAAAGGAGGTGGAGGAGAGATTCTAAGAGAATAAAAAGATGTGTTCCTAGTAAATTTAGAACTCGTGACCTAAATAAATATGAGAGAATAAACAACAGTTTAGGCAACCGACCAAATATACTTACTCTCAGTGAAGGACCGACGAAGGGAGTGTAGGGTAGTCACCCTTTGAAAATTTAAAATTAATATATATGTTAAATTTTTTCTATATATTTTATATTGAAAATCTATTTTTGTATTCTGAAATTTTATAAATTCAAAATTTTCATCCTAAATTCAAGTTAACACGTCAATATAAAATCACGTGTTCATCCCTACTCACTTTTCTGTTAATGCATTAAACAACAACTTTTAAATCAATGAAATAATGATTAAGAATTCAGTTTATAAAATTAAAAAAAAATCACCACTAAGTATGTTATTAATAAAAGAATTTAAGGGTGCGTTTGGTTCACGGAATATAAGATTATCAGTGGGAATAAAAGATTACCATGAAATATGATTACTGGGAATGTTGTATTTTGTGTTTGGTTGATTTAGCAAGAATGTAAGATTACCGTGTTTGATTAAAGGAATAAAAGATTATTGGAATGTATATTTAACCAAATTGTCCTTATTATATATTTGTATACTATTACAAATTGTAAAATATTTATATATTTTCTTTAAAAAATTAAATTCATAATATTTATATAATATTTTTACAAAATTAAAAATATAAAAAATGTTTAATGAAAGGGTAAAAAAAATTTAATCCTTGAACTTCAAATAAAATTTTAATTATAGATTTTTTTTGTAAATCTAAAATAATTTAAGAATAAATTTGTAATTTAACATTCGTAAAATTTTTATTATTCAATGACAGAAGAAAAATATTTTTGAAAAAAAATAATAATTTAAGGGCATTTTAGTCCAAAACGCCGATAATGTTACAATACCTAAGGGAATGGAGGTAATGACATTCCCGGTAATATACCCTAAAAAATCTACTATTGGTAATAAAACACTACCGGGAATGAGATTCCCGGCCAACCAAACATGAGAATGTGTGATTTCCATCCCATGAAAATCCCACAATCATTGAACCAAACACCCCGTATTTTGTTGGTATTCGAGGAAAGTGTAAACACGCGCACAAGAAAAAGCAGTGTGGGGAAAGTTGTTCCAATGTGACATAATGATATTACAAAAAAAAATAGGTCATAGTGATGAGCACTGTCCATCCCACAGAAAGTCTGGTGCATTCACTTCAATAATAATTAAATCAATTGCACCTTAATTAAATACTTAGTATTATCAATAAAACAAATTAATTTAGTACAATATTTTAAAAATTAGGGAATTATTTATATTTTCAAATTATTTAAGGCTTTATAATATTTTATAATAATTGCTAAAATCATTCATAATTATCGATGATTTTTTTTTAAATAAAACAGAGATCATAATAAAAAATAAATAAACATATTAAATTGATCGGAAAAATGTAAAAATTAGATTGAATGATAAATAAATTACGTATAAAAAAGTTTATTGTACTAAATAAAATATGTGTTTATGTGTCAATAACACATGTTATATAATTACAAACATAAATATGAATCAAGTAATAATGACCCATGTATAGAATTCTTAAATTTATATTTAACACGAACCAACTTCCCACAGTGGTTAAAAGAATCATTATTGTTCATAGAGATCACATGTTCGGGTATTAACAGATGCAACAAGATGATTGAACGTTCATTATCAAATGATTGAAAATATTTAAAACGTATAATACTTTCTAATCTCTTAATTAAAAATATAACTTTGTATTTAGTTTTTTTCTTCAATATATCAATAAATTTCTAATTTTTGTTTTTTTGCAATATTGCCTAAAGTTATTAAATAAGAATTCTGACTCTGTTAAATAAATATTAAACGGAAGAGCATGATTAGGAAACAGTGGGGACAAAACACAGTACTTCATGTCCTTTTACGCTTTGTCCTGTTATAGTATTGCATCATCCTCCCTTTGCTTTCCCAAAAATCTTACAACTAGGTCTGCAGTAACCTTTTGATTCTTACATGTATATATGAGCTTCCCACCCTTCTGTTATTCCTTCATTCGTTCAAAACCGAAAATTTTCTCCCTTCTTGAATTTTACTGAGGGAAAAAAGATTGAAATTTCGTCAAGGAAAGTTGTGTTCTTTCTGAGAAAAGATCAAAGGGAAGTGTGTTTTTTCTGTTTGGTTGAGAAGAAAAAATGTATGCAGAGACAGGGCTGTTTTTCCCTTACATGGATAACTTTGCTGCTCAAGATTTCCAGCAGCTTGAATATTACTGTAAAACCCAGAAACCCAATGCTTCAACGGTATTTAACATCTCAAGTTCATTGTATTTGTTTTTTTTTTGTTGCTTTTAGTTTCTTTCCTTTGCTTATGTGTTTGCTTCGTTGCTTTTAATGGAGCAAAAAAGAAAATTTCTGCTTGTTTCTGTTAAAATTTTCCGCGTTTTGAGTGATTTCAGAGTGTGAAAAATGAAATTTTGTACTTCTGAAGCTTCATGCTTTTCTGGATTCTCCAGAAAGGGGAGAAAGTGGGGGACTTGGTTTATTCTCTTGAAACACTTTCTCAGTAACCAAACAAAACAAGTCTGAAATGGGAAAAAAGTAATCTTTACATGCTGGAAGGCGGAAAAGGAAAGGAGAAAAGCAGAGAAAAGTTGGGAATATATTTGGAAAATGATCTCCATGTCATGAACTCGGTGTTCTTGAAGATTTCCCCCACTTTCTTCAACTTTTCGATGTGGGATTTCACCTTCCAGCCCACTCACATAGGGAAAAAAAGAAAGAAACTGCCACTATTAGCAATAATTTTAGTGGCAATTTTCGTAATCGTTGCAACAATATGAACTTGACTTTACTCTGTATGTGGCCATAATTAGGTATTGTATTTGCACGTACATGTTTAAGTTTCAGTAAGTTATTGCTGAAAATGAACTTTGGATTGATCACATAAACGATCGAACGCCGATGTTTGAGCCGGAATCTTCGAGTTCGAATTTAACTTGTGATGCCTGTACTGATCTTTAAGAACTTTGAACTGAATCATTGTTTAAGAGATCTTATTTACTGGTTAATGATCCTTGTTTTTTAATTTTTGTTTATTTGTTTGTGCTTAATGTAGAACAACCTGATTCCAACTTCGACTATATCCGAATATTCTCTGGGGGGAGACGGAGATCTGTTCAAAGCTCCAGAACCGATCATCGAGGAACCGGCTTTAGGCCTTGATCCCTTGTCTGCAGCCATCTCGATGATCTCGTGTGGTGAAGATGTCATTACTTCACAAGAACTTAAGGCAGCGGATATCGAATCGTTCCGAAACGATCAGCTTTTGGAGGTTCTCTACGAGTGCGAGAAGGATCTGATGGCACAAGCGGCGATGGAGACGCCGCTGTTGGAGGTACTTGATGTCAAGATTCCTATCATGGAAACGGATGGAAACCAAATTCAAGATAATGAAATGCTCTGCGATGTATCGTTCTCGAAAAGTGTCAGCTCAAGTTGTTTAAGCTCGATGGAATGGATGCAAGGGGCTGCAATCAGGCCGAATTTTCTCGATTTCCCTGGAATGGATTTCGATACCGTTTACGGGATGAGGAGAGCGTTTAGTGAAGGAGATATAAAGGTCAGCCTAATCATTTTTGCGCAGCTAGCTTTCCTGATGATATATGTGCGGAATACCATTTTCTTCATTAAAAGTAGTCCGATTCTAAAGCCGATTTATATAGTCGATTGATTACGATCTTAAAAACCAACCCGGGCCAAGTCACTCGTAAAACTTTAATCCATCACTGAGCAAGTATTGTGCTTCTAACAAAGTGTAGCAACTGAGAAACTTTTAGATGTTTGTGGCCATTTCCACAGGATGGGGTGGGTGGGTCATTGACGATACTGAGTTTTTATGACAGACTCTTGGCAATGGTAACGTGAGCGTCATTCATTCTCCAGTCGAGCGACCGTTGATCTTCAGCAGCTGTTCTACCGAAGATCGAAGAGAAAAGCTCTCGAGATACAGGAACAAGAAGACAAAGAGGAACTTTGGAAGGAAAATCAAGGTAAGAAAGAAAAGAAGAGCACATATTCAGTTTCATTTGATTCGAAGCTCATAATATGGTTTTGTTTGTCCAGTATGCTTGCCGGAAGGCTCTTGCCGACAGTCAACCAAGGATCTGTGGAAGGTTCGCAAGGACCGAAGATTCCGACAACTCCAAGAGGCAGTAACTGTTTAGACGAGTCGAAAAAAATTACCAAGCAAAGAAGGAATGTAGTAGTTAGGACCAATGAGGCAATATATATATATATATATATATATATATATATTAGATTGCTAATGCTAAATAAAGAAGCCAGCTCCCGAGAAATAGTTGTATCTTGTTCGTTGTAATAACGGAGATGGCCGAGTTCGGATGTACATAGTGTTTGTTCAATATAATAGCAAATCAGAAATTTGTACTTGGTCATATGTATGTTCTATAAGAGATGCTTATGTTTTCTCCATCTCTAATCACATTGATGGGTATGTTTTACCAGCGTTTTTTCATTTTATTTTCTCGTACATTTGGATGCACTTCAGATGGTGTTGAACATAGGCTAAAAAAGTAACCAATGAAAAATGGGTCTAGTCTGGTCATTTCTGAACCAGACTCTTGTCCTTTAAACTAGGGATATGCCTTTTGGAATCATGACCGCAACCTGAATATATTATTATACATTAACATGCTTCCACAAAAATGGTTCAAAGCTGTGCAACCCAAATAAGGTGAAACAAATCTTTAACTCCCTCTCTGTGATTACAGCTTCATAATTTGGGTTTTTACACACTATATCGGATGGCTCTTGTATCTTGTTCTCTGTTCATTATTATGTCTGCGCCTTGTTAACATGAACTACATAGTATCGTTATTTGCAGGCAAATTCATGGGCCTTGAGTTTCCCTTTCTGAACACTATAATATCTGCTAGCCATACAGACCCCTCGGGGGGATCTCCCATCACGGGTTGACGACATCAACAGAAAGAACGGATGCAAGGATGCCTAATCCAGAAACCCGATGGCATAAACTCGTTTTATTTGCTTGATAACGATAGGGCAGCAAAAGCAAAAATAAAATGCATGAAATGGAAGAACAATGATATAGAAATCGTCTCAATGTGTATTTTCAGGAGAATGACGTATCAGACTTAAAATTACCGATTCGGATCCCGACTCATTTGGTCCAGGAATCTGATTCTCTGATTCTTTAGGAGAATCATTTAAAGGACGACTAACTGCATCACCGAAAGTCTCTCTTTCATTGGCACAGTATACAGAATTATTACCTTCATTTTTGTTTATATCATTTGAATTTTCCCCATCAGCAGCCAAGCTATTGAGCGACTGCACAGAACCTCCAACATCATCCCCTGAATTTATCTGATGCTTAGACTCCATCTCTTCCCCCTTATTGCTATCTGAAACTGGTTTAGGCACAGGCACCACTGTGTTTATGCGACCCAAAACAGTATTTGGCTGTTCTGATTTCTCGGGGGGAAGGCTATTCAGATGATCTGGTAACTCCCCTTGAATTGAAGCTAGCAGTTCCATATTCTCGACAGATCTAGCAGTTGGAACAGCTCCTTTCTGCTGATCCGAATCTAGCAGAGCTGAATCCACCATTTCTGAATCAAGCATCGAAACTGGTTCCTCTGCTTCGTCTACAATGTGATCAGAACTTTGCTCCTCCTTGGGTGCTGAAGAAAATGCAAATATTCCACCATTGACAATTGGGATAGCACCCATTTGTAGCCTCTGTTTCTTGTAGATGGCCATTGCTTTCTGTAAGTAGAGAACATATGTGAAATACCACCATTAGTTTAGAATCTGAAGTACAAGAGTATAACATCTTCTATTTGTTTCCTTCCAACGAAACTCATTTAAACCTAGCTTCTAAAAGAAAAAAGGTAAACATAACTATTCCCACCAAAGAAGTAATGCGAATATGAGCGTCAGTAAGTACCTGAAAAACAGCAGCATTAGTTGTAGGAATGGGTGAAGGGCTCAGCATGGCAATGGAGGCATTCTGCACTGGCCGTGCTACCTTCTGAAAAAATTGACAGAAAGGATATTATAAGTAAAAGATCGGCTAAATGAGATATTGAGAGGAAGAATTATGTAGAAAGGGGTTCTCTACCTTCAAATTCACAAGCATTTTTACATCTTTAGCCAAATCTTTACTTTTCTCTGCATTCAGGAAATCCATACACTGATCATATAACTCGGCACCAGCTAGTTCTGCTGAAATGTCAAGCTTAGAAAGATAAACCTGACAAAAACGGGCATCATGATCTTTGCTTGATATTTTGGAAGAATCAGGTGCCTTGTGTGGAATCTCAGGTGAAATCCTAGAAGATTCTTTAACTGGTGACATGACATCAGATCTTGTTTCAAGACCTTTCACCTGAATACCATCACTGTCATTCTCATATTGAGACCTCTGACAATCCTGTCTGTCATAAACATCATCAAAAGGAGCCTGCAGAGGGTGGTTCTCTTTCTGAGATGCTGAGGGAAAGTCAACATGAGCATTTTGTCCTTTCCACACACCTGAACTGGTGTCCCATCCTCTACCATTCACTGGATGCCTATTCTGATCCCACTCAGAACCCCTGAACATGAGCGCTTCATCCCTAATAATAACATTGTGACCATCCCAACCATGAAAATGAGCAGGTCCAGAGCCATCCATCGTATTCTGCCAGTCCATAGGACGCATATGATTTTTAAACCTTTCAGCATCAGGTATGTGATATGGAATCCCGGAGTGATTAACTTCCATTGAGGGTCTAACACCAAACAGAGATGGAGAAGGAAATTGTGGCATCATAGCTTGAAAACCACCATGAGGTGGCCCAGGTTGGAACGGGATGAAACCATTTGGAACAGATGGTGGCCAGTTTGGGGCACCCCTCCAAACATTTGCATGCCCTCTTCTAACATTGATATCACCACTCCTCTTGTAACGGCCACTATTATTGAATATATTATCTTCTTCCGGAGAACCTGTGAAAGAAAGGCTGCCAACTCCAGTTCTTAGACCAGGTGGTTGAGGATTCAAAGATAAGTTGCCTTGACCAGCTCTATTATAAAACACAGAATTTGCTTGAGAGGATCCATCCAAAAGAGGATTTTCGGGGTGTAAGTCTTGACAAAGTCTATTGACTTCTTCTCTGCCACCAACAGAGGCACTGCCCCATCCAGTCTCATCTATATCAAGAGCCCGCCTAACACCACTTCTACTCATTGGGGATACTTTTAAACTTGAGGACCTCTCAAACTCTCCAGAGTGGCCCTCATCCACCCTACTTGATTTCTCTGTGGATCTGTACCTAACACCTCTCTCGGATGTTTCAGAAAAACTAGTAACCTCTCTTGATGAAGCTGCTTTGGTCTTCTGCTCTGTCATTGGATCTCTACAATTCGAATCATTTTGTTTCAAATGTATGTAAGAGAAAATAACTTTATTATACTCAGAACAAGGAATCAATCATATTGAAGAGGATGTGATAAAGAAACAAAGTACCTATACTCATCAGTCCCACCATGGGAACTTGAGCTGGGAGAAGCCCTCCTTCTGCAGCTACCCATAACTGCATCTAAACTGGCTGGACGTGACTGAGACCTTCCCCTATCAGCATCTCCCTCAACTCGACCAGAAATTGATTTATTTTCCGTGTCAGAATAATGTATTTTGGCACCTCTAGATTTTGTATCAGTACCATCATCAGGAGATCGCTTCCTTCCCTTACTATCTTTATATCTACCACTCCTCCGTTCATCATGGTCACAATCTCTATAAGGCTCCTTGCCACGATCACTGCTACGTCGATTTCGTTCTCGATCTCGATCAAGATCTCGGTCTCGGTCCCATTGAGAATCATAATCATGATCACGGTAACGGTCACGTTCTCGATAATGGTCACGATAACGTTCACGCTCGCGTCCCATGTCTCGCTCTCTATAACACTCACGATCACAGTCTCTATCACGATCACACTCAAAGTCACTATCTTGAATCTTGGACTTCTGCCGAACTTTCACATCATCTTTTCCATCCCTTAAATGCTTCTCACTAGACTTACAATTACCATGTTCACTTGCTGATCGATCATCTCCCAACTTATCACCTTGCCATTTGTCTTCACAGTCCATGTCTTCTTTATACTTGTCCTTGTATCTTTCATCCTTATGCTTCTCATCTTTCACTCTGCCATCTTTGCCAGTACCATTGCTTACAAAAAACTGTCCGTCCAAGTTATCTCCATTATCTTCCAGACACTTATCCCCATCACCAGAAGCATTTGTCCTTTTTCTAAATCGTCTATCAAACTGGCTCTCTGATTCAGGAGTTTTCAAACGATCTAGTACATCCAAATCTTAAAAAAAAAACCTTAGACGTTAACAAGAGTATTTAAAAGCCTATTAATAGAAAACACTGCAGAAATTAAAGTTTGATTTCCAAAAATATTACAAAATACTCCTCTGACAATACTGACTCGATAATGATCATACAAGTTATAATTTTTTGCAAACATGAGACATGAAACTATAAGAAGTACATGTAATAAAACACCTAGCTAAGCATATAACACAAATGTAAATCAATCCAAAGAAAAGTATGAAATCTAAATACAAAACAGAAAACTGAAAGATCATGGACTTAATATTAGAATTCAAAAGCATACAAGTAAAATTATTGAGTCTACTATACGCTATCAATACCATTAAATCTGCATAAAATCAGAAACAAAGTGACAGTATCAAAATCCTGACGCATCTTGACATAGCACTAACAAATTTGAACAGCACAACCATTTTATATTAGCCTCAATCAAAGGCCAACTCACCGCACTGAGTAAAACAGAAGTTGGTAAATTGGTTTAACATATTTAGAAAATCACATAAAAAAGCACTTCTAAGTGCACATGAAGTGTAGCAACTTCAAGCTTAACCCATCAGATCTTCCTCTAAATTTACATATAAGTGATACTCTTATCTGAAACAGAGAACTGAGTATGGAAAAGTAATTTTAAAACAACACTCTGCGGCTAATAGAAAATTAAATATTGGAGACAAATGAAATTTTCAAAATTGGATTCCTAGCAAACCAATAATTAGAATCAGGAAGCAAGCCAAAAGTTATATTAACCAGACAAGGATAATCAACCGTTTCAAGTTAACACTGAAGATAAAAATTGAAGAAAATAATAAGCAACTTAATCCTGGTCCATAAACCACTGGTCTAGGAATTCAGACACAAGATGCATCAAATGCTGAAAACGAGTAATACACCAAGTTTTAAGATCAGATATTAGTTGTTTCATAACAGTACTCAGAAGGACATAAAACAATACAAAATGCACACTTTCCACTACCATAAAAACTAATCGGTAGCAACAATATTCTCCCTTTTATTTCAACTATATTACCTACTCTATAAATTTCTCAACCCATCCCCTCATCCTGCAAACAAAACATCTACTTTTACTCTTTGCCTCTTGCAGCAAATAAAAGTTCATAAATCAGACTTTGATTTTGAATTTTAACTTCCTCAATCAACTTGACATGCTTTTTGAGAGTCTATATATATATTATATTCACGCAACAAAGTGATGTATTTATGAGAGATTAATTAAGACTGACTAGTCATAAATTGCAAATGCAAAAGGTTCTAAAGATTCTTTAGTGCAAGTCCAACTCAAAAGGCAAGTTATAGAGTTATGTAACAATAGATAGTTCCTATAATCCTATTCGATAAAGTTATATAACAGGTTTATAAAGGTTCTGCGATTCATTAATATTGTCCCTATATAACAATCAATATATACTTAATCGCAATATATACTAAAAATAGTATAACAATCAATAGCAATTACACTACCTAACAACAAGTAACAACAAAAAACACCAAAATAATTAGAAATGCACAATTGTTCATGCTAAATTGCCACTAAACAACCAACAAACAATAAGTTATCTTACCAGTTCTTTCAGCGGATTGTCTAACAGGGCGGTGTTCCTCGCTCTCAATTGACCTATCACTCTTTCCTTCTTTACCTTTCTTTTCTCTCTCCCTTTCCTCCTTTCTACTAGATTCTCGGTGCTTCCACTCACTTCTACTCCTCTTTGTATCATCTCCTTCTGCATCCTCTCGTCTTTTACCCTTCGATTCACTTGAAGTCCTGGACTTCTTCTCGCCTTTACCATCGTCTTCACCGCCATTCCACCTGTCACTTGCTCCACCATCCACCTCTCTGCGGCGCTTTGAGGAACTGTACTCCTCCAAATAATCTCCATTCCCCGAAATCCATACATCTTTGCTGGTATCCTTGGAGTCAAGCTTTCTCTTCTCACCGGATCCAGGCTTGCTCTCCTCCTTTAAGCCCGAATCTCTCTCCGAATCAGAGTAGTCCCTAGCATCCCTGGAACTATGCTTACTGGATTTGTGCCTTGAACTCCGCGGCATCACCGGAGCCCAACTACGGGAACTCAAAAGGAAAAATCCTAACCGGAAAAAATTAGAGGGAAAACCCCCTCCGAATCAATAGCGAAACACCAACCTCAGATCAGCATTCAATATAAAAACCCTAAAATCGAATCTTCCAATATAACCAGCGTCTATTCTCGGGAAAAAAATACGACAGAAATGACGGTTGCAGCCCTAATTGCGCGGCATAGGAGTGCAGGTGGCGGAGAATGGAGGCGTGGAGGCGGTTAAGATAACTAGATCGAGAATGGGGAATAAACGAGGGAGGTTAAAGAATTTGGGGCGTTTTTGGGAGAAATGATAAAACATTAGGTGATTTTGAAGAAGTGAAGAAACCAGACTGCGCCTTTGTGTTTTAATGTTTTTAAGAATATAAATCAGTTAATTAGACCTGAAGTAGACTTCGGATGATTTTGTCGAATGACATGGTTAACCCTTGAGATTTAATAGTATCACTGTCTTGTCCTCTTATTTAGATAAATATTACCAGGTTAAAATTTAGGGTAAATTAACGACGTTTATGACTTGAATATTTAAAGGGATAACATTAAACACCTGAATCATTTAAAAAAGTTTAGAAAACTATTCGTAAAAAAATGTTATAGTTTCGAATTTATTTTATAATCAAACCTTATCAATTTAAATGAATTTCGACCAACAGAAAATTTGACGCCTTAGGATTGGGAATTAGTTTGAACGAAAAGTTATTAATTGTGATGATAATCCACAAGCATGATAAATATTTAATTTTCATCTCCGAAAATTCATTTTTCTATTTTTAATCGTTTAAGTGTTATATTTATTGATTGATGCTAACATGACGTTTGATCAAATAAAAATTTAATCAATTATAACAAAAAGTTCATTTTGATCATCTTAATCAATGAGCATGAATCAAACAACCTCTGTGATAAAAGAATTGCTATTCTTTGAGGTCTTGGGTTCAAGCACCAGAAATAACAAGGATGTAAGCGATTAATGTCAAATGGTGGAAAGTTATCTATGAACAGATACTGATTTGTTCTTACCTTAGATTAATAAAAAAAATTGCTTAATGAATTCTACATTTACATATTCATTAGGCCAAATTAGTGATCATTTTGTTACAAATCAATAATATTGACTAATTTGTTACTTTTGAAACTTTAGTGGGAAAAACAAAAATTTGCTTAAACATTAGTTTTGGTATATTGTATTTTAGTACTTAGACTTTCAAAAATTTTAAAATCATACCTAAAAAATAGTTTTTATTTAATTTTAGTACCCAATCGTTAAAGACTTTAGTTTTTGTTTCATTTTAGTATTCGCGTTCAAAATTTAATGTTAATTTTTTTAAAAATAAAAAATTAGATACTAAAACGGACCAAAATTAATAATTTAAGTATTAAATATCTTAAGTAATGAGATGAAAATTAAATGCTAGGCATGATTTTGAGAAATTTAAAAATTTAACGGAACAGACATGATAGTTTAGGTACAACATGCGTGCTTTGCCCCTTATTTAATTAGAACAAAACAGTAAGAAAACGGGAAAAGGAAAGAAGAATCTGAAGAACAGTTAGGAGGAATTGTGAAGAATCGGAAGTTGAGAAATGTGGAATAATGATGAAGAGAGAGCCGAAAGCTTCTTAGATGAAGAATCTGAAGGCTTATGCTCACTATCTGCGACGCAGGTAATTCTGTTATTTTTCTTCATTCATTCATTCCTTTTTTCATTTTTCTTTTCCTTTTCAACACTTTGAATTTCCACTTCCTTCAGATTACATGTTTCGTTTTTCAGCAGTTCAAGTTATGGGTATTTATTGTTTGATGCAGAGATTATACGCATCCGCCGCTTGTTTACTTTCGGGTCTTGTTCTTATGTTTCTGGTATGATAATTCAATTATTTTCTTCTGAAATTCTAATTATTGGTGAAAATTTCAATTTAGGGCACCCGACACATTATGATTTTAGGGTTCAGCTAGTATTAGGCATTGCTGATTGGTAATATCATTATAGTTCATGAATTATGGAGCCTTTTAGTTGTAGCTCTTAGGGAAAGTGCTGCCCTTTGGATCATTGAAAGTTCATTGTTACCCAAAGAACTGGGAGGGCTTATCACAAGTTAAACAGCAGCAGTAGCAGAAACACGACCATTAAAGATGAAAATTTACGTTTTGAATAGTCTTTTCACTAATTCCCCATTTATATAGCAGATATCCTTATTATCAGAGTTAGATGAAATCCTAGTGACATTTGCGAGTCACAACCGGATAGTCTGGCAATGCGATCGAACAAGCTCGTGCACGGTTCTTCGTTTCTTATCATACACTCTACTATTTCTCTCAGTTCAGATCATGTAGATATAGGCACCCTTAAACAAACTCACGGGCTTGTCTTCAACGTGTTTAGGAATGCCACACAATTCAAGAACTTTATCCCAGATCTGTTAGTTAAAATCGTAAGGGGAAAAACATACGGTCTCAAGTTTCCTCCTTACTTCCATAAGTAAAAAAAAGAGGAAAGTTGTGTCTAGTTGTAATTATAATGTATGTCCTTAACATGTTCATCATGGGGAATGATACAGCCAATTGCAATTGTAAAGCAAGCTCCTTATTGGTATTTGATTGCTTTATAACATTATCTTTCAACCTTTTGTTTCTTTTGCAGTCATTTGTTGTGTTTGCCATACCCATCAAATTTGCATTATTGTTCACCTTCGGAAACGTCTTGGCCGTTGGGAGGTAGGTTGATTGGTGCCCTCATTCTAACAGAACTCTCGACATTATGATCTCAACAAATGTTTTGGGTTTAATTGAGTCATAAATGCTTCTTCTGGACACCATTACAAAAGAATAGCTTTTCAACCTTTAGCAATCATCAGCCTTGAGTGTCGCATAACTGGCATAACTTTGTGTCTTGACTTTTATATGTCGTGCTCTCGAAACCAATTTTAGTAACCCTAGCAATCTAGTAGTCCACCACAACTCTATCAATGTTTTGTCAATGAAACGGTCAAAACAAATCAGGCTTATATAAATAATGAAGAACCTGTGATGAATAGTTCATTTAGTACAGTTCAACATTATTAAATTGTTTTCTGCTCAAGGCTTCTACAATTTTTTACTTTGTTATACTCTTTGACAGCACAGCATTCCTCATGGGACCCGAGCAACAGCTACAAATGATGTTTGATTCTGTTCGCATTTACGCAACAGCTGTTTACATTGGATTTGTTGTTCTTGCTCTAATTTGTGCGTTATTGGTAAGTTTGCTACCTTAAACCTGTGATAGTTGGATCAGTTCCAGCAACCTTTAGTGATTGAAAGAAGTTTGAGTGTACGAAAACCTCATAGATCGAGCATACAACATTCTGAGTAGTTCATAATAGTTTGATGTCAAATGCTCATACACAATTGCTAAATTGTTTGCGTTCTGCTACTTTCAGTCTCTTGCAGCATAATAATCGATAACTATATTCAGAATATGTCATGTTCCTGAACTTTTTATATGGCAGATTCACAGCAAAATTTTAACATTACTTGCAGTCATATGTGAGATTTGTGCCCTTGTCTGGTAAGTTGGCCTCTTACATTTATCCTTTTATTTTCTGTAAACCTCTCGGTATTTTCCTCAGTTTCCTTCGAGGCGTAATTCATATTCATGCTCAATGTTTGATATCTAGACTGTTTATATCATTATACTTCGAGCTTTCCTTCAGGTACTGTCTGAGCTATATTCCATTTGCGAGGAGAATAGTTTCCGACCTAATGGTCCGATTTTGTGACACTGAACTTTAGATTGTGTAAAAGGGAAAACACCATTCATCTAAGAACTTCGGGGTGCATTGATTTTTGCTTTATTCACAGTGTTCAACGGTCTTTGTTGCTAGAAAATGTTGTTTCTCAGGTTGCTTTGGTTATCAAACATCATTGTGTACCAGACTTTTTTTTTCATATATTTCAAATTCATTTCTGTTGGTTGCACTCAACATACAAAATTTTCGGCATTATTCATGATTTAACCCTTGAATCATATTCGATTTCTCATTTTGGTGCTAAACTCTTTTTTGTTCACTGTAATACTTAAAACTCTGATCTCATCAAATTAGTTTCAAAAAATAGTGTCATGTCTAGCTTGGTAGAGCACAATAAATGCTTTTTTTATGGGTAAAATATATCAAATTATGCTCAAACACTTGTTTTGATCGTTGAACTTTCAAAATTTACAATATGATCCACATAATGTTAAAAGAACACAAAGTCAATTACGAGTGAGAAAGATTACAAAATCAAAACGTTGTTAAAAGATTTCTTTTGTTTAAAAATACATATTATCTTGAGTGGGCTTGGTAAATTGGCCCGATTTAGGGTTTGGAAGTTTATACTAAATTATAGTTATCTTTTGAGATCTTGTTTTTTGGACCCAATTTAGGTTAATACATGCAGGAACCAGAAGAAATTTAGGGCATATTTGGTTTAAGAAAATACATAATATTTTTATTTTCTTAGAAAATATGAAACATTGAAGAAAACATGTTTGGTGGTAAAATTAGAAAATTATTTCTAGGAAATGAAAGAAAAAATAAGTAAAAAAATAAAAAAAATAAAAAAGTTGTTTTTAGTGTTTTCATTAAAATTGTTTTGGAAATTTGAAAAATAGAAAAATATGAAATCTAGGCTTTTAACTTAACTTTTGCATATTCAAATCCTTCTAACAATATTTTTTTGATTTAATGGTATCTAAAACCCTTAAACTTTTGAAAAGAATCAATACAGTCCCTAAACTTTTTTTACACTCAATGTGGTCCTTGAAATATTTTTTAGCATTTTTATATTTAATGTATTAAATATCTTAATAATTATTTATATTTTAAATTTTAAATTTAAATGATGCCTTAATTTAAAAAAAAATAAATAAGTCCTCAAACTTTCTAAAATATTAATTAGGCCCTCAAACTTAGTAAAAATCAATTAAACTCATTTACCACATCATTATCCATTGTGTACTGTCACATCAACATTGTAGATTATCATGTAAACTTTGTGAACCGTTATATAATCGTCTTAACGGTTTGATTCAGTTAGTCAAAAAAATTAAATAGATTTTTTGTGTTATGAAATTTCTTATCAATTTTATTGTTGCTGCATAACTCACATGTTGAATTTATGTAATTAAATTTTTTAATGATTTTATTTTAATTTAATTATTTAACAACTATTTATTCATCTTTATTTTAAAAAATTAGACATCAAATATATTTCAAAAATTTTATTTTTGAATTTAAGCTTTAAGTTATATTAACTAAATTCCATCAATTTTCTAATTACATTTCTAGTCCTCAATCTTTTGTCTTGTATTTAAGAACTCCTTTTTATGGCTAATTGACCCAAATCAAATAAATCCAACAACTTAAATTATGAAATCTATGATGTCCACTTACCTATTAGGTAAACCTAAAACTACTAGCCCATAATTTGGGTTGTTATCTATCAGGTAAACTTACCTGATAGGTAAGCGGTCCACTTACCTATTAGGTAAACCTAAAATTACTAGCCTATAATTTGGGGTGTTACATTAGTAACTAAACTTTTATTTTTTTCAAAATTATACTTAAAAAAGTTTAGTTTTTATTTCATTTTAGTACTCCGCCGTTAAAATTTTTAGTTTTGTTTCATTTAGTACCCCTGTTAAAAATTTAGCGTTAAGTTTTAAAAAAATTTAAAGTTTAGGTACTAAAATGAACCAAAAATTGATAGGTTAGGTACTAAACAAGTTATTTTTTTAATAGCAGATACTAAAATGAAATGAAAACTAAATGTTACGTATGATTTTGAAAAAATTAAAGTTTAGGTACTAAAAGAAACCAAAATTGATAGTTTAAGTACTAAACACGTTAAGTTTTTAATGACAAGGTACTAAAATGAAACTAAACGGTAAGTATGATTTTGGAAAAATTGAAAGTTTAGTTACTAAAAAGATCAAAACTGATAATTTAAGTACTAATTACATACTTTACCCATTAAAAATTAACCTTTTTCTTTATTTGCCTTTTGGATTTGGGTTGGTCAGAATTACAAATTGTCCTTTTGGGCCTAAACACCATTTTATAGATAGTCAGTCTCCACGTCGCAACAAAACGTGGCGACAGCATCATCCAACACGACGCCGTGCTGAGGTCTCCAATTCCCCAAATCCAAATCTCTCTTTCCTTTTTAATCCTTTCTTTCCCGGAGAAAAAAAAACTGTTTTAGAGGTTTCTATTCGTTCCCGCACTTTCCTTTACGCTTCCTAGAGAGTAGAGAGCTGAAAATGGCGAAAGCCAGCCTGAGCCGTCTATTATCGTCGCTATCGGAGCACTCTATTGCCAAACCGTCTTTCACTAGTTTCAGATCAGATTCGGTGGCTCGTTTCGCTTCCAACTCGGCGACTCGCTTCGTATGCTCCTCCGCTCAGCAATCTCAGTTGAACCATGGAGGAAAGGTCGACGAGGAAGATCGAGAAGCTTTGAAAGGGAATCTTGAATCGAAGAATAAAGAAGGTGAAGACGGAGATGATGAAGATCATGTGAATAAAGAGGCGGGGGAGGTAGGCGGGCCTAAAGGCCCGGAGCCCACTCGGTACGGTGATTGGGAACGTAATGGTCGCTGCTACGACTTCTGATTTGTGAGGGTTCTATATATATATTGGTAATTTACTTTGCTAAATTTTTTATATCAAGAATGTAGAACTTAAGTCATGATGCTAATGCCTGTCCAATAAATTTAGCTAAAAAACATCGAGTTTCAAACCTTGTTGGATTCTCTTCCTAAATTTATAGCTGTGGCTGTATGAAAAAATAGAAAGCCTTCCCTTCATTTGACAATGGCTGCATAAAATACTCGAAGAAATTACTCATTCTTTTCGAATGACATCAAGCTGAGCCTGTTCCGTTTAGAAAAGCTCAAAACCAGAGGTTATATATTCATATATTTTGATATCAAATCATTATTTCACCCTATGGTTTCATTTTTCATTCATCGATATGAGCATTCTTAAACTCTTGTTCTTCTTCATCTTCTTATGCTACTCCTTATACACTGCAACAAGCACAACCTAAGATCCATACATGGAATCCGTCTGCCAAATCACCAAATCGGCGCCACTGATTCGATTCCCGTTTCGGGTCATTGGCTGGCAGCCTAAGTCTTGTGGCTTCTCAGGTTTCGATTTATCTTGTAATCATAACTCAACCCGGGCATCCCTTCAGCCGCCTCACTCTGGAAACTTCAGCGTTGAAGCCATTGATTATGGTGACCCCAGCAGCTGCCTTCCCCGAAGAATTCTCGAGCTCAACCTTTCTGGTTCTCCGTTTGCGGCCTTTTATTACGAAGATTTCACGTTTTTTGATTGCTGGTTGGATTATTTGAACGGTGGCATCTACACGGCTTTTGCTACTTCGTCGAACGAGTTGGTTGGTTTTTTGTTGTCGTTGTCCACATGCCGATGAATTGCAATGGTTTCAGTCCTGGTCGGGTGGCCTTTTTATGAATACTTGCGGTCGTTGGACAATGATCTGTAGCTAACGTGGAGCAAACCTGAGTGCCGAAAGTGTGAATCTAGGGGCGGCAAGGGTGGGATGAAAGCCAATTCAACTCAAGAAAGTTGTTCGACTGCTCCACGACGAGGTAAAGTCGCCTGATGTGTGTGTTTTTCATGAATTCAAACACAAACCAATTGAACTTTGGTTAGGACAATGCTAATGTCCTTCTAGGGCAAGTCTTGAGACAATAATATTGGCCAATGCAAGGTTTGAAGAACTTCTTTTGCTTGAATTGCGCTCAACGCTTTCTAGCACCTGTCGGGGGCGTTGACTTATGCGATTGTAAGCAAATATGCTTCCTTTACAGCCTCTCAAGTCCTATTTCACAAGACACCGTTATAACCCAGAGCTTAATTCGGGGGTCGCGTCTTAACCGATGATCGTGATGAGTCTCGACGGAGAGACTATAGAATCATATCTGAAAATAGTGTTGGGTGAGAGCCGACGACTTCCGAAACCCGACGACAACACTTGCTCGATATGTTTGTCTGAACATTGGCCCAAGGAAACCCTCAAGACCATACCCCAATGCCAACATTGTTTCCATGCTGACTGCATCGACGAATGGCTTCGATTGAATGTTACATGTCCCATTCGTAGGAATTCCCCACAAAGGTTATCTTCACCAGTTCAATATTCATGAAATGGTTTGAACTTTGTAGATAACACGTTAAATTCGACATTACCAGGGACGGAAAACACGTTTAATTTTAAGATAAAGTAAACTAGAGTTTATTTAATAAAATAAACGTTTTAGTTATTGAACTTTTAAAAATATAAAATAATTATTAAATCTATCAAATTATTACAAAATAATTATTAAATTTTATCAAAATGTTATAAAATAATTATCAAAATAGTAAACCTTATGAATTATAAAATAGTACAATAATAACAATGTCAATCGAATTAAAATCGAATGACATTTCAATCTAATATTAAAAATTAGACTATGATAATAATATTTTGAAGGTTCGACTGTGAATAAAACTTCAACTCGTTAAGCGATTTTAATAATAAAAGAAATTTATCTTTCTTATATGTTTAAAATTTGAACAAGTGAATTTGTAGAGCATGGAAAAAATTATATGATGAAATTATAATAGATTATATGTCTTGTAAAAAATTATCGAGTTTTAACAGGAAAAATTAATCATTTGATTTAATAAATTCGATTTTTCTACGAGAGATCCCTATCCGTTTGTATAGTTTCATTTGATTTTGGTCGAGATTGCTGCGTTTTCTTTATTGCCTCTCATTTCCATCATTCATCAGCTCAAGAAATGTGTCGATCACTTTGAACACTTATAAAAGTTGAGGACCTAAATGTAAGTGTCTAAAAAATGAAGTGACCATTTATATAATTTACCCTAATTTTCATAGTTGCAAACGGTGATGTTGGGGGACTGTAATGACAGTGTAACGTCGGGAATCATATTGCAAACAGACTAAATGTTGGGAGATTGTATTGCAAGTTTTAAAAGTTGGAGACCTAAATAAAAACTTCAGAAAAGTTCAGTGACCATTGCTATACTTTACCCTAATTATTTTATGTCTTTAGAATTTTCAAGTCGATACTGTTTGTTAATTTTTGATTTTATAATGTTTCTGATTTCCTAGGCAGCACTGTCTGTGGGTTTGAAGATCTGGGCATTAGAAGGGGCATTAGGTGAATCATTTTAGATGGTATGCGGAAGTTGTTTAAGGAGTATAATTGTTCAAACTGGACTTACAAGGAAAACATTAACCCCGACAAGGGTACACTTCCGAAGCATTGGAAGGACTTTATATGTCGGTGCTGGATTAACTAGGAATCGTGAATTTGGAACAAGTGTAAAGATGATGGTCAATTCAGGTGCAACAGCTAACGGGGGTCCTATTGTCGGTGCCTTCCTGAAGAAAGATGGTGATGGTAAATATGTCAAGGGTGGGTGGAGAAGGTAATATGATGATTGTTGATCATATATTATGTCAATATGTCCTTAATTCTCTTTGGCATTCCCTTTCATTTTGAAAATCACTACTGTGATAGGCATTCTTAGTAACCATGCAATTTACCTTCTCATTGGTTCTTATAGATAACGAAGACCTTTAGGTTTTCACCCAAATTGGTTCGTATTTGATATCTACTCGAATTAGTTCTGATTTTTGTAAGTTTTGACTATATATCTAAGGAAAATTACAAATTTGATAATTAAATTTTAATTTTATTCTATTATTTTACTCATAATCATTTTGATCATTAATCCATTAAATAGTTAACGGCGTTAAAATAAATTGTTATATAATACAAAACAATGTTTTTTAATAAAAAAACTCAAAACATGATCATTGTTAACACCGTTAACTATTTAATGAAAAGTGACCAAAATAAGAGAGAATAAAGTTTAATAACAATAAAAATAAATGTATTAAGGAAATTAAAAACTTTTAAAGTTTAATGAGTAAAATAGAAGAGAGAGTAAAATTCAATAATAAAATTTATAATTTATAAATATGTTTATGATGGTTGTACCTTCTCATTTTATTTTAGTTTTCAATGTTTTAACCTTATAACCAAAGGACAATTTTTTTCCGGACAGAGAATATTACAAAAGTAATTAAAACATAAAATAGAACATACTTTTTCTTCCATGTTTGGTCAGTTGTTTTAATAATATTAGAAGAAGACCAACATTCACCCAAATTATCAGAAAACAATTACGATTAGGGAGATTTATCAACATTTTCGGATTTAGGACACAGTTTCTCTGTTTCACAGTTCCATAGAAGAAAAAAACAACATTTGCTTTTCTTCTTTCAACTCGAGCCATTGTTGTTGACCTCCTTTATCAACGGACAGAACAAACGTTCATGCGTAGACCTTTCCTTAAAACCAGAATATATGGGGGGGAAAATAAAAGAGAACACGGGGTTTCCCCTTACACACGACAAAGCTCGCTTAGCCCATGGCGTACTTCTGGGTCCAGCTCCTTGCAGTTGTCTCGTACTTGTGCCTGTCCGTCTTGTACATGTGAGCGATCTCCGGCACCAATGGATCATCAGGGTTTGGATCCGTCAGCAAAGAACAGATTGAGAGCAACACCTACAACATTATGTTAAAACGATGAAGCAAACAAATCTGATTCCAATTAAAAAGATTGGGTTTCGTTTTAGGTATTGGGTCGGATTCTATCAGTTTTGCATTGCTACAGATGGTCTCCTCTCATCAGATTTGGCATTGTGATTCATATTCTGGGGTGATCGAGTGTATTTTAAGATTGGTGACATTTTGAGTTGATTTGTACTAGGTTTTGGTCATCATGAGGGGTGGCTCAGTCCAATCGGATCAATTTTTGCAACCCTTGATGCCAAATATAAGAGAGAAGGTTCGGATTGGAGTATCTAGATATTTAGAGGATAATCACCTTGGATATTGTCAGCGCAGGACTCCATTGCTCCTTCAAGATGTCTAGGCAAATGCTTCCATTGCTGTTGATGTTGGGGTGGAATACCTTCGTCCTAAATGCCACCTGCAATATCATATGGAAAAATGTTAAGAGATGAAAGCATTACGTACTTCATATCCCATGTTAACCAATTCAAATTCCTACAATATCATTGGTCAGACAAATAAAAGAAATCTGCCTATGCACGAGGAACATCGATTTTCATTTTCATGTATTTTCAACCAATCAACATGTTAATGAAGGTTTCAATCATATGCTCATTATATATCACCATTAACAAGCACAATACCTAATTTATTCAAAATTTGATAGAAAGACGACGCCCAAGATGTGATTGAAATAGTGTAACATTGCATCTGGATTATATAGGTAGCTTTTAACATAAACCAAAGTGCATGATCGAACACTTAAAGCATTGAAACAACAGAGAAATGTTCCGTGAACTTCCAAATGTCAACCTAAAACAATGGTAAAGGAAAATCGCACATAAAAAGTACCTTGGGAGGCTTAAATGGATAATCTGGAGGAAAATGGATGGTCACCAGGAAAACACCCCCAGCATAAGGACTGTCAGGTGGACCCATAATTGTTGCCTGCCAGTGAAACATGTCTTCGGCAACTGGACCTGCAACATTGTCCAATAAACCATTATCAATATGCAAGTAATGTAGTTCAATGATACTCATTGGGAATTTGTACATACTACATACAAAACCAACAGAAGAATGAGTGAAAACCACAATAGAAGATATTTTATGAAATATGGTCATCCTTCGCTTATCAAGAACCAAGATAAAAGTTAATAGTCAGAGAAAACAACTGTTCTGCTATTCAGTCATAATTCTTACTACTTCCAAAAAAACACATGTAGCAACAGACAAGAAACCCAATTTAGGCAAAGCAATCCAACTTGATGTGCGTAAGACACTTGCAATCAACTATGGTCATAAACTAGAAAACAGAAAGAGGGTACAAAAAACTAAGGGCGACCCTGTGCCGCCTGTGTTTGACATATCATATACAGATACAATTTGAGTATCAGCTGGCATAATAACAAATATCAAAGTTTTCATTTTCTTTCCTTTATTATAAGCCAAAAAGGCAAACGTTGATGTCATTGCATGACGAAAGCGCTGTCATTATCATCAATTCGTAAAGTATATAAAATATGTCAAATATCTTTGTCAACATCAACTTAAAACATGATAGGACCAAATACATATATACACGTGTCTCAAAGAACCTATATAGTTCAGACAGGTTATATAATGAATAATCTGTAACCAAATATGAAAATTATTGGACTCCTTCCAGTCCAGCACAAGTTCAATTCATAAAACGTTTCATTTAAACATACTGGAACAGACTAATATTTTTAGTATTAGACTCGACATATTAAAACTAGATGTAGAAAGAATAATTCCACTTGTGAATTTAAGATGATGGATACTTGTCATTATCTTAGTAAAGTTTGTGAAATTATTATTTTACACTTCTGGTGTATCAAATAATAATCTAAACTAGATTCGCCTTTTCGATGATAGGATTTTTTTCTTCTAGTTTTTGCAAAATAAACAAGATTATGAAGCAAAACATCAAATGAAAATCGCAATCATTTCTTAATAATAGCAAACAAATGTTACTATCGTTTCAACAACTTCTTTAATGAGAAAATCACAGCTGATTATATCAAACAATTTTTTAATCATCAATTATATCTGAAACACGCACATCGATAAATCTATCATCTCGTATTAATATAATAACAAAAAAATATCAATATTTGAACAAAAATGTAGATAAAAAACAGTTAAATGATGATTTATTTTAAATATATATATCGAGTGTTATACCAGCGCTGCAAGATGTAGGAGGATCCTTCTGTAAATCCTTCAATTCCTTCAAGATCCGCTTTGATGCCATCGCGAAACCTGGGATCCATACAGCATAGATAAAGAAAATTAAAAATGCAAAAACAAAAACGATAACGAAGGAACAATTAAAGGCGAGAGACCGTAGAGATCTAACCTGAGCAGATTATCCTACGATCGAGAGGGTGCGTCGGTTGAATGCTCGAAGGAACTTTAGGTGGGTAAGAGAGCAGAGGTTTTCGATCGAAGAGAAGGGGAACAAAAGATAGACGAAATTGATATCGACTGCGGTAGCGGTATATATAAATGGTTGGACCGGCCTCCGTTGAGAGTTCTGATTGGGTTATCCTCTTGTGGGTCCCATGAATTGGCGTTCTTCTTACGGGAGTATTTCATCATAGTTCTTTTATTTTATTTACGTACTTATCCGAATATATCAATAGTCTCTAAATTTTCGAAAATTCATTTTAATCACTAATATTATTTTGGGGGGATAAACTATGCATATAGTACCTAAACTATCAGTTTATATCTTTTTTGGTACCTAAACTTTTATTATTTTCAAAATCATATTTAATGTTCAATTTTTATTTCATTTCAGTATCCTATCATTAAAAATTTAATGTGTTTAGTACTTAAACTATCAATTTTGATCAATTTTAGTACTTAAATTTTCAATATTGTTTTTAAAACTTAATGTTAAATTTTGAATATAGGTACTAAAATGAAATAAAAACTATACTTTAAGTATATTTTGAAAAATTTAAAATTTAAATACTAAAACGGACCAAAATTGATAGTTTAGCTATTAAACGCATAATTTATCCTATTTTTTTTAAAATTTTGTTCCTTAATATTAATTGTCAAGGACACAACTCATGAATTTAAATAGTGGTTGTCATATAACAAAAATAATGTAATCTAAAATCTTTATTACATGATTGTGATACCTATAATAACATTTATATGTTTTTATAATCATTATAAATATAATACGAATTAAAAATATAATCATATTTATAATTTAAATTTCTGACCCCATTCGTCATATATTATGATTGAATGTTAAAGTTTTATATTGAAATTATGTATTAATTTAATAATGTATAAGTTGGAATAACAATTCAGTATAAAACTGAAGTAGTAATTTTTGGGTAAATTTACGAACTTCACTCGCTCTCTTATTTTGCTCGCTGAACTATAAAAATTTATCAAATTTAATACATTGAGTTTTTTTATCACTAAATTTTATTCTCTTATATTTTAGTCACTTCGTTGTTAAATAGTTATTTGAGGATAAAATGACTACATTGGCTTTTGCTTTTGGGAAAGTTAAATTAAATTTGACTAATCAATCTGGCTTAGATATTATTTTTTGAAATGATTAATATATTCTTTTAACTATATTCTTTTGAGTGATTAAAATTAAAGGCAAGCTCAATACATTTACCGATGTTGTATAGTTCGTTTTTGTATTAACAAATTTTAAATAAATATTGTTTTTATTTTTTTAAGACAAAATTTGTTTATTTGGATCTTTTGATGCGCTCTTTCTTTCTTTAGATAAAGATAGTTTTAAGAGAAAATAACATTAGTGATCGAAAATGTCTTATAATATACGATTTTGATTAATTTTTTTTTATTTGCCAAAATGACCAACAAAATTGCAATGCGATCTCTAAATTGCAACGCGATCTCCAGTATCGCAAATCAATTTCCAGATTCGCAACGCGATTTTGACTATCGCATTGCGATTTTCCAAATTTACGTTAGTCTAAATTCGTTGCGATAGGTCAAGTTCACGTTGCGATTTCTTAAGAATTTTCTCTAAAAAGATAGTATTCGCGCGGACGTGTCGAAGACACGTATGACCACGACCCGAGACGAGACGCGACGGCGGCGACGGCGGAGGTGTGCGAGAGTCCCCTTGTTCTCTTCCACTCAATAAGGAAGTGAGAAATCCAACCCCTTTACTCTTCATTTCTTAATAATTGTTTCAAACTAAGATCTTACAAATGGCTTGAGAATCTTTTACACTATCGCAACACATTCTTTATTGTTTCAAACTCCACGTGAATTTGGAATAGTTAAAATGTAAACTTATTTTGTTTTTTCACTATCGCAATACTTTTTCACTATCGCAACAATACGTTTTTCAAACTCTCGCAACACATTTTAACTATCGCAACATATTTTTCAAAATCACGTTGCGAATCTTACAATCGCGTTGCGAATTTGGAAATTGAGTTGAAAAATTAGAGTTCGCGTTACGATTTTGTTGGTCATTTTGACAAATCGAAAAAAAGTTTGTTAAAATCGTATATTATGAGACATTTTCGGTCACTGAAGTTATTTTCTCTAGTTTTAAATGTGTTCATTTTGAAAATAATTAGCAAAATATGTTATTTTGATATTTAATTATTTTTACGATGATATTACTGTTATTTTTGATAAATAATCAGCAAAATACGTTATTCATGAACAAAATAAGACCTTCTTGATGAAAGTTTGTTTTGCTTCGATACATAGATCAACCTGCACTCCCTTCTGGAATTCTCTATCGAAACTTTGGGAGGCTTTTCGGACTGACATTGTCTGGTCCGTAACAAAATAATTTACGTTTAGATTTTTAATTAATTTATAATTATACATTGAGTATTTTATAATTTTAAATTTTTATAAATTAAATTAATGATGGTGCTTATCAATACTCGTCGAGCGTTGTAGAAATAAGTTTCAATAAAATATAATATTTTTATTAGATTTTTATCACATCAAAATGAAAAGTTTGAATAAAAAGTATTTTTTATTAAAATTTGTCAACTAGAGATGAGTTTTGTAACATTTGCATAAATCCCTTAATAAAAACTGAAGTGCCCTAAAGGGCCAAATAATTAGCCTGCCAACTGTACTGGGCCAATATAACCCTTTTTTGTGCAATGTTCATGTCCATGATTTCTCTTAACGATTTCTCATTTTAAACCCACCGAGAGAATGGGTTTAGTTATCTATACAAGCCCAAAGCAGACTTAGGGTTCTAGAGGTTAAGGCTTATCAACAAACAGAATTATTTGGAACTATTTAATGACAGGGTTAAGATTCAAAAAGTAAGATACCTCTTGAAATATACCTGGTCTCAATGGTATCAAGTTCTCGGAAGCCTACACGTGGAAAGCAAAATTTGGTCAGTCGCTTTTGCAGGACTTCTTTTCAATACACTATGAGTGTGTTTGGTTCATAGAATGTAACATTATCTCCGGGAATAAGATTATCGGAATGTTACATTACCTTACACATTACTAGGAATGTTATTTTATTGTGTTTGGTTTGTTTGACAGGAATGTATGATTACAGTGTTTGGTTAAAGGAATAAAAGATTACTGGAATGCATATTTTACTAAATTATCCTTATGATATTTTTTTAACAAGTTGAATTCCAAATATTCAAATGAAAATATATTATTGTATTATTTTCAATTTATATATTTTTTATTAAATTTTAAATTCATAAAATTTATATTTTGTTACAAAATTTAAAAGATAAATGTGTAGATTAAAAGAGTAAATATATCATATATTCTTTTAATCTTAATTAATATTTAAAATTCTATGATAATAAATAAATAAATAAAATTTCCGGTTGGGAATATTTTTGAAATAAAGTTATGATAATAAATTTATGATAATATACTATAGCTTTTGAAATAAATGTAAGGGTATTTTTGAAATAAATCTTTTAGGACAAGGATATTTTAGTCCAAGTTGAAGGGAAACAAAAAAAACCTAAACCCACCATGAGATTAGAATTCCCGGTTATATTTGAAAAAAAGCTACTGTTGGTAATATTTTATTACCCCTATTAAAAATATTGTTCATCCAAACATGGGAATCACAAGTAAAAAAAAATATTTCCACCAGTAATGTTAAAATCCTCCATCCAAACGCCTCCTATATGTGTGTTCCACTTTACCACCAATGTTAAAGGCAAAGATTGTGAACTGTCTTCTGTTTGCAGCAATAAAAAAGACCACATTGGATGGTCAGGATTGAATTTGTTCTTTAATGGCATACACACAGCACATAAACCTAATAATTTATCATTTCTCCTATTGGTTCTTGGTGGTGGATCCAATTGATTTATGCCCACATTTTAAAGAGGGCTAGATATTAATATATATATATATTTGGTACATAAAATTTAGGTAAGGGGTAGTTCTCTCCGTCCATGGTTAGATATACCTAAGATCCAATTGGAATTTATATAAGAATTTATAGATTATTGACCAAGAGTGACAGTTGTAGAATTTGAACTTATCTTACAAACTCAAATTTCTAAATTCTAACCACTTGTACCGATAGTCGTTGGTAAAAATATATATTTTATTATATATAACATCAAGTGGACTATCGTAATTCGTAAGTAATAAGTAAAGAAAGTTAAAAAAAATGAGAAATTCTGAAAAGATATACGAGAATGTCTATAAAAGTAATGCCTTTTGCTTCAACAACAAGAATGCTGTGGAAAAAGGTTAAGAAGTTTCATAAAGTTTTATTCAGGGATAATGCCTTTCAGACCAAGAAAAGAAGAACGCTGTAAAGATTAAAAAGTTCCATCATGTGCCACTTCTTCTATACATCTCCATTGTCTAAACTTTCACAATATGTTCGATTTAATTACGGATGTAATTCTTAGATGTGAGTATGTTAATTTTTTTATTAATTTGGAGTAAGTATAAGACAATATCTATTCATAGATAACTTTCAATCTTTCAACAATTAACACTCACATCTCTTGCATCTATGGTGTTTGAACTTGACTCTCAAATAATAACAACAATTCTTTTACCACGGAGACCACTCAGAATAAAGGAGTATGTTAATTTTTTTTTTAAAAAAATAATACAATTTTAAAAGAAAAGTATACAAATGGTCTCACGACTATAGGGTATGATTTTATTAAGTTCATTGACTATTAAAAGTTACACGATAGTCCTATGATTGTATAGTGTTTCTTTGTTAAGTCTCTCGACTATTAAAAATTACAAAATGGTCACTTGACCATTCATTATGTTCCAAACTCATCCTTTTTCGTTAAAAACATTAACAGTGTTATTAGTTGAACGTTAACCTACTAATTGTGATATGATAAAATATGATCTCAGAATCTCAAATGACTAACATATCTCAACCATCATATTAACGTACAACTTAGACAACCACTAAATTTTTAACGAAAAAGGATGAGTTTGAAATATAATAAATAGTCGAGTGATAATTTTGTAACTTTTAATAGTTGATGGACTTAATAAAATAATATTTTATAATTGAATGATCATTTTATAAATTTTAACAGTCGAGCTAATTCAATAATACATTGATGTTTGTCGGGGACAAGGCCGAGTGCATGGGAATCTAAAACAAGAGGGCAGAAGCCAAATAGCCAATGTAGTTGTTTAGGGATGTCGGCTTGCTTGTTTGGCATTTAATTGTTTTCCATCCGCATGCAACCAAAAAATGGCCAAACCATTTATAAAATAATCCATCATAGATGTAAATAGGGGTGTTTAATTGCTTAATTTGATTAATCAACCGTATCAAATTACCCCTAAATTCATTAACTGAATTTTTTTCTTTAATCATTAGTTGAACAAAAATTTATAAATAATATATATTATATATTTTTGGTTTATTCAGATAATTTGGTCAATTAATTCGATTAAAACTGAAGTTTAATCACCCCTAAAACTAAATAAATAATATATATAACATGGATAAGATCCTTTTACACAATATTATTGGTAAAAGGTGAAGATTCATCTTAGAGAAAAATAATATGAAAAAATATTATTGGTTGAAACCACGAATGATGTGGTGAATCGAGACCATATAATAATTTATTCTTAAAATGATATTATGAACCCAATCTTTGCTTGTATAAGAACTTATAATATGCATTTATGCCATAGCTAAAACACTCATGCAAGAGACTAACCATGAAAAAAGAAGATTAGCCGCTCATGTATGAGGATGGGCATTTGACCTAAATTAACAAGCTAACCACATCAATGAGTTTATTTAAACTTTCAACTTACAAATAATTATCATAAAATCTCTCGATTCTAAATTTTCTTTATTATTTCTTCTTATTCTACTTCTTTAAGTAAACACATTATTTTAACATTGATTAACGATCCATCTATTCCGACCACCCTAACCTATAAGTTGGTATCAATAAAACTAGTCATGAAAAAGAAAGACTAGCCGCTCATGCATTATCAAAACCACATAAATAAATATAATAGTCATGAAATCTAAGAAGAATCAAAAGGCCCGAACAAGTAAAGGGCGGTGAACCATGTATGTGTAAATACACATGGTGACTAACACCACTTGGCTTATTTGCTTCTGAATGCATCTTTTTGCTTTTAAAACAGTGACTCGTGAGAGACTTTTTTGTAATAAAGTAAAGTGGTGGGCATGGCGTGTAACCCACAAATCGTAGCTAGAGCAATATAGCATGTGCTGCTGACATGGAAAGAAGAATTCAGACAAAGGGCGTGATGTGTCGTCGGTCTACTCGATGCCAATAGGAATCTTCAAAAGCAGCAGCCCCCCAAAAACCTTGGGTTGGTAAAAGAAAAAAAGATTCCCATTTGATTGATAATTAGCTCTTTGGATCGAGAGCCCTTTTCTTTGCTTTTTGCCAAGAAATCATAAACAAATTTTCAATGGTTTTAGCCCCCACTTAGCTAGCAAAGGAAACAAGGAGAATGATCACAAATATTTTTTTAGGATAAATACATATATATTAATAACATAAGATATTAATTATGATAGATATAAATAAAATTTTAAGATAAACACCGTCAATAATATAAATAACTAATTAAAAAAAATTAAATTTTAAAATAAATATAAAAAAAATTCAAAATAAATACTATTAATAATATAAATAATTAATCAAAGAAAATTTATGTACACCCTCACTGACAACTTTGACGGAAAAGGAGAGAAAAAAATGACAATTTGACAATGAAATGAAAGGAGAGAATGATTTCACTTTAGGGAAGCTGGTAAGGGCATTCTCTCAGTCGTCCCCTACATGCTCCTTTCTCACTAGTCCACGTCTCCTTGTTTAACTGGTTTGTTGATTAAGTACTCGATATATAGATTGATACGTAAATGAGACGATAAATAATGAGTAATTTAATATTGAGTTAATTCGTTTATAGTTATAATATGAATTGTTAAAATTGTGTGATTTGAATTTTATTTTGTGTTCAAGGAGCTGGTTTCCAATCCTGGGGTCTTAATTCTTCGTAGTTAAGGTTTTACGGGGGAAAAGGCACTTTAGAAATACTTGTTATACAAATATTGGTTTTCAAAGTCTAAAGTGGGAAGTGACCAATGGCATCGCTCCTTTTAAGAGCAACTACAGTTTGAAAAGCTTGTGTCCAGTTTAGGGCAGTAAATAAGACAATACATATAATATATTAATACATATAATATATTATTTGAGATTGATTCAGTCCAAGCTTGATTCGAATTAAAAAGCGGGTGGTCGGTTATACAGTGAGTAATAAAAAGTAGGTTAAATTATGTGTTTATTATTTGAACTATCAATTTCGGTTTATTTTAACATTTAAAATTTCAATTTTTTTTTTAAAGTCATACATAACATTTGGTTTTTGTTTTATTTTAGTACTTTACAGTTAAAAACTTAACGGGCAGACTGACGGGACATAGCTCTGGTGGACGAACAACCAATTCGAATGGTAGACCATGAGAGAATCATGAGTTGGCTAACATAGTCTAGTTTCAAGCCCATTGGACGGTTGACGATGGAGATTGAAGGATGAAGAAATTGAAGAGTTCATCATCGATTTGGGGAGATTAAGACATTTTTCGTTGAAATGGAGGCCGAAATCACGTTCAGGGGGTCAAAAATGTGTGGGCTAGAAAGTTTGAGCTTCAACATTGTCGACACTGTTTTTCGCATGAGCGAAAAAAGACCGATACCGACTCATGGTTCGCTATTTTGAAATAATTTTCAAAATGTGAAGAGTCACCACCAATCATTTAAAGTGCGATTGGGACACCATAAATACCAAGTGATTTTAATAAAACATTTTATTTTTATCAAAATACCAAGTTTTAAGGTCTGCGAAAATCCAAAAATCAGATTCGGGAGTCAGTTACGCGTGGGGAAAGATTAACACCCCCACAAGCGCCCACAAATTGGTACATAGTTGATTACTTTATATTTAAAATCGAAAATTTTGAGTTCGATCTTTATTTAATTTAAAAATCATTACGGATGCAAAGTTGAAAAGGGTATTCGTTTATTAAAGCCGATAACATTCTCCCCCTAGAATAAACACGGGAGATAAGCTATTGTACATGATAACCGAATATTGCCTCGATTTTAAAAATCATGATGCGGTATTTGAAAATGATGTCTACCTATTTCGGGAATCACCAGTAGTCACCCCTGAGCATGCTTGCGAGAGATATACCATTAATTCCCTAATAAGTAAACATTGCCTTAGGTTTAAAAAATAAAATGCAATCAAACAAATTTTTAATCACCCTAATTAAGCTAAGGGTGAATTAAGGCTTTTTTTTCTAGCTTAAAGTAAATTAAAGTTCTAAAAAATGAAGGGTAAAAATATTAAAGACAAATAAAATATATACAAGTACTAAAATTAAAGTTATAAAAAATGAAGGGTAAAAATAAAATAAAATAAAAATAAATTAAAGGACTAAATTGCATAAAATAAAATAAAAGTAGATAAATCAAAAATAAACAGTAACTAAGTTAAAATAAAATAAAACAGAATGATAAAAGTGTAATAAATCAGAAAAGGGAAGTCCAGTGACCAAAATACGAAAACACGAAAAATACAAGGGACTAAAATACGAATAACCCAAAAAATAAAGACAAGCAAGAAAAATGGAAAATGGCAGTTTTGGTCCCTACAGGTGATCAAACGACAAAAATACGCTAAAAGTGGGGGGACTAAAAAGTAATTATACCAAAAATTATAAGGCAAAAAGGGAAATAGGAAAATTATGAAAATAATCCATTCCAATGGCCACTTTGCGAAAAACACAATAAAAGTAGGGGGACTAGAAAGCAATTTCCCTCGAAATTTTTCTATAAATACAAACTTTTTTTTTAAATATAGAGAGAGGCTCTCCCCTATCTCTAGAATCCCAGCCATTGTGCCGCTGTCTGGGCCGTCGCAGATCGCCGCGCCGCCGCCGATGGCCTATGGTTACCAAAATTTATCAGGGGCTCGTCTGGGCTTGGTTTCACATGAAACAACCTCGAACGCCGTGAAAATTACCGATAGCCCCTCGAGTTCCACCTTTCGGATCTCCGCGGTTCGTCGTTGGATCTGGCCTAAATTTTAATATGTTGCTCTTCTCCTCAAGACGCTCATCTTTACCATTCGGATTGGTCGTAGAAAACCTCGGCCGCCGACGAGGCTACGGCCGAATGTATGTTTCCTCTATCTTCTTCTCGATTTCTCTTTTTTGCCTCTGTTTTGCTCAATTGTCGAAAAAAATACGAAAAAAAGCTATGGTTTCAAGTTAGTTTAAAAAACAAAAGAAAATGGTTTCTGGAAAAATTTAATTTATTACTTTCGAATGTATGGGGGTCAACCTCCTCTTTACATTGTTTAGTTCTGAGGTTTTATACTCGTGACACGTAAAATAAAAATAATTGATTTTCTAGTGTTGTTGCTTATTGTTGATGGAGTGAGGAGATTGCTTATTGGTGGTTACAGGACATGGCACAGGTGTTGGAGCAGCATGTGGTAGCGTGAAGTGTTAGTGATGGCTTGGTGGTGGCGTGGAACAGTAACTCTTCTTCCATTGGGGGAAGCCGGTGGTAAAAGTTGAATGGGGGATTGGGTGGCTACCTTAAGGCTTAGGGTTAGACCCGGATCGGGCCAGGTCAGGTTTTGGGCCCTAGGTTGGGTTTGGTTTGGGGCTATCCAGGTTGGGTTCGGTTTGGGCTTTGAGGCCCGGTTATATTTGTAAAGGGTTTGGTTTTGGTTTTGGGCTAGAGGCCTGGTTGTAATTTTGGGGAAGAAATGGTGATTACAGCTGTCCCTCTTTGCTCATTGTTGTGAAGCGGGAATGAAGCAAAGATAATAAAACACCATTTTCTAGCTCAATATATGTTCTTCAAGTTACGGGTTTTTCTCATCAAGATATATCCACTGAAAATGTTTGTCCCTCAAGTGAGGCGTTGTTGATTCGAAATGTTGTGAAGAGATATAAGGTTGAACAAGCTCTTCATTATGAATTCTCTATTGGAAATGTTGGTCCATCGAGTAAGGAGTTGATGATTCGAAATACCATGAATGAGCAAAGGAAATGTTGATCCCTCAAGTGAGGCGTTGCTGATTCGAAGTGCTGTGAATCGAGCGAAGAAAATGTTGATCTCTCAAGTGAGGCTTTACTAATTCGAAGTGTTGTGAATCGAGCAAAGGAAATATTGATCCCTCAAGTGAGGCATTGTTGATTCGAAGTATTGTAAATCGAGCAAAAGAAATGTTAATCCCTCACGTGAGGCGTTGCTGATTCGATGTGTTATGAATAGAGCAAATAAAATGTTAATCCCTCATGTGAGGCGTAGTTTATTTTAAGAAAAACAATCTCAAGTGAGATAAATCTTATGTTTCGAGAGAAACTATCTCAAGTGAGATAAAAAATTTTGTTTCGAGTGAAACTATCTCAATCGAGATGAATCTTGTTTTAAGAAAAACAATCTCAAGTGAGCTAAATCTTCTGTTTCGAGTGAAACTATCTCAAGCGAGATAAAATCTGGTTTTAAGAAAAACAATCTCAAGTGAGATAAATTTTATGTATTAAATGAGACTCCCTCTTGCTGAGGATGTCTTGTTATCTTTTAATCTCATTTTTTACTGAAAGATCTATAAAATGTAGCTAAATGCAACTATCTTGAATGTTCTCATGAGAAGAGAAAGGGTTCTTGAAAAAGACAGTACTTCAAGAGAAATTTTAATGGTACCCTTGTGAGAGGGAAAATTAAAGTTTTCATTGCATAAGATGATGGATGTTTGATGCAAAGATGCAAATTCATATATGAGTAATGCATGGTTTTCTTGATTAATAGCAGTGAAGATGTGCTCAAGAAATCTTGTCTCTTCTTGATATGTTCGCCTTCATTCTCCTCCCACACCAGGGTATACCATTGTATTTCTTTGCGAAAATATGTTTTTCTTGCTCCCTAACATTCAATTATTTGCCCTAACTTCTGACTCTGAATTTCTAAATCTGGGGGACCCTTGTCAATTTCCAAGCTAAACTCTCCAGAGAGATTTTCCTGTTTGAAAATATTTTCTTTCTTTTTATTTTTCAGATTATGGAAAGTTTGTTTAAGAAAAATGTCCTTTTAGGCTCATAATTGAAGCAAATCACAAAATATGAGTTCACTAAATATCAAAAGAAACAACAGCTCTTTTAATATTTCAAAGTTATACCTCTTTGACAAGTGTCAAAATTGATGGGTTGGTTTCATGTTAGCTCCTTAAAGTTTCTAAGGTTTCAGTCATCAAATATGTATTTTGTTTTTCGATCCCTATGAACCTTATGATATGCCCCTCTATTTTGGCTTGACATTTCAATAAAATGCGGATAAAATGGCGTAACCAGCATAATTAATCACTAGACTTTCTAGAACACTTCTATTTTTATTCTCTGAAATCTTTCATTTGTTCAAGCTTCATAAACTTCCCTTAGCAGAGGTAGTGCAAGGACATCAATCTAAAATATAAAATTCCTGAATGCTTGTGTGAAGTCGACTATAACTGGTGTTCCTCAAATCCCATAGTCCATTTTCATCGGAACTCATTATTAGATCAATCTGATTTAATTTTCCATTGTTTGGATAGCTGAATTTAGCTTTATTGTATATATATTATAATCGCCTTCATTGGGCTAATTGAAGGGTTCGTCTTATCACAAGATCTTTGACTTGACAATTACAGTGGAGTAAACACCGAATTGCCGAGTAACCGAGTAATGCATGATTCAAATACAATTTATCATAAAGACAGAGCTTTTGAGTATCCTCTATAACCAATTGCTTTAGCGGAATAGCTCAGCTTTATTGTATAATCTACAGTAATAATAATAATAATTATTAACCTTTTGAGTATTCATATTTAGAATTTTTTAAGCTCATCGAGAAGAACCTGTTATAGTCTAGGTGTCTTTGATGGTCAGGAAATCCCACATTTAGAGTTCAGCTCGCAAACAACTGACCTAAACTAAATTTGTCTACTCCACTATTCCATTTGCGAAGATTATGATCATTATTAAACGTCTTCAACAGAAGTGTAGTCTAGGCAACTTTGTAATGTCATACACAAGTGATGCACCATGTTGTCTGCTCCTATTCATACCTGAATGCCAAGCCTCTTAATCATTTTCTCATGAGAAGAGAATGCTATATTGGCCCCTACAAGAGAAGGATATGGTGTTCGAATGTATCATCTGTGGTAAGGTAAAGGGTTCTTGTTTTATCAGTTTTCAATCTTGTCATTTTGTCAAAGATCTATAACTTTGATTCTTAAAAGAGCTTTTAATCCAGTGAATATTTAAAGAATTTCAAGTTTGAAAATTACTCATTGCTCATAACCTTAGAAGGTAACATTTTATTTAAAATGTTCGATTGTCAAGTTACATAAAAACATTTTAACGACAAGAGAAAGAAAATAAATTCAAATAAGACAATATGTGAGTGCATCAAAAGTTCCTGGTGGCTGCAATGATTTTTATTGGTTTGCATCAGAATGCCCCATCATTCATCGAATATCCAACCCCCTGAATCAAATAAACTCTGAACCTTGAGATTCAATGCCCCATAATTCTTAGTGATGCGCCTTGAACTTCAGACAGTGATAACATCACGTCCATAGCTCTTAATCATTTTTTGGTGCGAATGGGGTGACTTCATCTTACCTCAAAACTTTTATCACAAGATTCGTCACGAGTTACTCTCGAGATATGTGATTAACGCACGTTGAGATGCAATGTATACCATGTAATGTACCATGTATATATACTAATGCAAAAATGAAAAAATGCACATGCAGATGCAAAAGAAGATCCTTGAGAAATCCAGTAAGACCGAGACTTTTTACGCCAAAGAATATCCTCTTGGTTGAGGAGATGTTCCAACTCAATAAGTAGAATAAATTCAATATTATGGAGGAAGTGCAATTATTTCATGCAAATGTCCTATTGAATACCGCGAAGCCTTGCCATTATGATGTGTTTCATTTTGCCAATATAGCCAAAGACATACTTATTCCAAGTATCTGTAGCCTTGGTAAAATTACGGATGGTTTCAGTCATGCTGAGATTACTATTTCAATTGTTGCCAACCATTCTAGAGAAGTTATCGTGTATCAACCATCCCGTAAAATAATGAAAGGGAATGGGTCCAGAAGCTTTTGGAAGACTTCCTAAATGGAGAAGAATTGGGAAGTGATCTGATCTCATACGGATAAGTAATGAACAGTAGCGTCAACATAATTTTCATCCCAATAGCTATTGTATATGAATTGATCCAGACGGACTTGAGAGAGCCCTCTTGACCACGTAAAATCGGGGCCTTGGTAGTGCATATCTCGCAAACAAAATAAAAATGAGTCTTTGGAAAGCTTTGCATGATTTTGTCGAAATAGAGCAGTTTTTCCGGCCAGAGGGGCAGAGGGTGGCGTTGAAGTCGCCAAAGATAATCCAAGGAGAGTGAATTGTAAGGGCAAGACTTATGAGGTGAGGCCATAAGTTCTTCCGACCCAAAACCGAAGGGCTGGCATAGACTGCAGTGGCCAAGAAATAAGAGTTTGTTCCTTTGAGAGAGATATGACAATGTAGAAATTGAAAGTGATGAAGGAGGAAGTCATCCGTTAAAGTATTATACCAAGCAACCTATATTTCACTCGAAAATTTGATAGCTTCAATCCAATAAGAATTTGGGAAATCGAAAGAAGCAATAACTGAATATGTTTGTATACCACTGATTCCAGGTTCAACAAAGACTACCACATCAGGATTATGATCCTTTAGGTATTATTTAGCAGCCATGAGAAAGCGAGAGTATCCGTATCCCTGAACATTCCAACATAATAATTTAAAATCCATAAAACGAGTGGGGATAGAGACATATATCATTCAAGCATTGCTACAGCAAGTTCACTACCCATGTCATGACTAATTGCATCAGGATTGCCACAAATTTGAATTTGGAGGTCCTTGGTCGTAGGGGTAGTTTCAAAATGAGTAATGCTGGTGTTATTTGTTGTATCGGGGGATCTCTCAAGGGTTTATTCGGGTCATTTGTAGTATTCATGAGGATGTTTGGATTAGCATTTTCATCTGTGGTGATGGTTGTATGTTTTTCTTTGTCAAATGAAGGCCCTCTTCAGCTCAACGTTCACAAGTTAGAACTGTTAACTTTCTCCATCTTACGTGATAATATGGGAAAATCCGAAATCTTAAGGTTCATGGGTTTGCGAGGAAGAATTACTCTAGTTTGCTTGGCTTTGGTTTTACCTTTGCCATTGTTGGTCGGTCAAGAAGGAAGATTAGTTGTTGGTTATTTTGATGGCTGTGGAGGTTGAGTTTGAGGGGGTCACAGGTGTTTGCATGCTCATGGTCTCATCAACTATCTTCTTAAAAGATAGGATTAAATCTTGAACCATTGAACATAATTTTCTCAACTTGTTGCTGCTTTCCATTAGCGGTTTTTGTTGGGCGACGAGGTCGACGAGTAGCCACCATCCAATGACCAAAGGCTGCATCAGTGTTGGGAGGACTCTTAGCAGTAGGTTTGGATCTATTGGCTTTAGTAGCATTTTTCGATTGGATGAGATATCAAGATTCTTGATGATGACCATACTTCCCACAATGAAAGCAGATTATAGGTAGAGTTCATACTCTACAATTTGCAAGTTACCATTCATCAGTAATTTAGATATCAGCGGCTTGGAGAGATCAATCCAAATTGCCATACGAGCAAATCTTCTGCGTCTGCCCCATTCGATTTGATAATCCAGTTTAAGGACTGGTCCGACAAACTCGCCAATTTTGGAGATCAGACTTTTTTTATATAACGTCACAGGGAGACCAGGTAATCTAAACCAATCCATCACCGTGCTTGGAAAAGGAGTTGTTGTGGAGAAATTTGATGTCCACGGTTCTACAATAAGGTAGTGTTCGAAAATTGTCTAGGGTCCGTCTGCGAGAGCATGGAGGTAGTTGTCATAGGTACGAAAAGTGACTAGGAAGTAGTCATTCCAATGTCCATCAATTTGATAGCCTGTTTTGGCTTCCATATTTCATTGATTTTTTTATCTCAGAGTAGTATATCCTATTCGTCTCCCTAGGAGTTTGATAACCATCGTTTGATCAAGGCTCTTCTCGGTGAGAGTTTGGATACGTTCGGAAAAGTCAATTGAGACAATACCATCAACAATCGAGCGAGTGAAGTCACCCTCTTGAATCTCAATATCTTTACAGGACGATGCGTTGCTTTTGTTGTTCACCAAGTTTTCAGTCTGGGATGAAGGAGATGGAGCGGGGTTCTGTTGTTCAGACAGTGGTCTACCAAGATCAGATGGATCGTCGTCGATCTGACGATGTTTTCTGGGGGTGGAAATGGCAGGAGCAGGGAACATGCTAGGGCTTTTTTAATATTTTATTTTTATTATTATTTTCAGTCGATTTATCAAATAAATTATCATATTAAATAATTAAAATTTCTTAACTTATTAATTAGCACTAAATCAAATCAAATAATTTTTATTTATTTAATTGAATCCCTTGCCACTTCATGGTTGATGGTAAGTATATTTAAAAAATATAAACTAAATCGATAAAATAATTCTTAGTATTTGAATTATATAATTCTTGATACCTAATTCGAATTAATTGATTAATAAATCATGAAAATGATAACTATATAAAGTATCATTGAATAATTAAAAAGTAATCGATTTATTAATGGGTAAAAAAATATAATTGAATGCTTAGAAAAGAAATTTACCCATAATTGAGTGACAAAGTTACAATTTTATCCCTTCTTTAATCAACGTCCATTGGTATTAAAGCATGCTATAAATAGTTGAAGAAGGCCACACCGTAGAGCTAAAAGCTTGCTTCTTCGCCGGTAAATAAAACTCGTTCTATTCTTTGTTTACTTCACTTCCTCATCAATTTCCAACAAACACCATTTTATTTCTACTTTGAAACTCCACATTTTAAAGTAATTGTTGAAAGAATCAAAGTTTCAACAAAGGAGGAGCAGGCAAGGTAAAGCTTTTTTTGTTTGGTTTAGATAGGGAAATGGAACAAAAGGGGATATTGCTGTCAGCTTTAAGTGTTGGGGTCGGTGTTGGGGTCGGTCTCAGATTAGCTTCAGGGCAAACGTTGAGCAAATGGTCCGGAAAATCTTGTTCAGATGACGGTATTACAGGGGAGCTGATTGAGCAAGAACTCATGAGACTGATTGTTGATGGAAAGCTTAGCAACGTCGCCTTTGATGACTTCCCTTATTACCTTAGGTAAACAAGCCTGCAACGAGTCCTTGTTGATCTTAACTTTATGTATGTATGTATGTATGTATTGGTCAAGACAAAGCTCTATATTAGATTCACAGATTTACTCCTTGTGCTTTGGTTAATGCAGTGATAAAACTTGGTCGTTATTGACGAGTGCCGCATACGTTCAACTCAAACACAGCGATGTTTCTCGGCACACGCGGAACCTTTCGCCTGTCAGCAGGGCTATCTTGCTCTCAGGACCTGCTGGTATGTTACTTGAATTGTTTTCTCTAGTTCTGTATTTGAAAGAGTTAGTTTTTAACCTGATGGATTGCATTTAAATCTTTGTGAAGAACTGTACCAGCAAATGCTTGCCAAGGCTTTGGCGCATTACTTCGAATCGAAGCTACTACTTCTTGACATTACTGATTTTTCTTTCAAGGTAAATAGCCAGAACTTATTGTCTTTCGAGTTTCAATCATGTCGTAGAGTTCTACTTATACGTTCTTTGATTATCTTGCCTACAGATGCAGAGCAAATACGGTTGTACCAAGAGGGAACCTGTAAGTTAAAACAATTTATACCCTCAGAAATGAATTGGTTTAATTCAATCTTACCGATTTCCACCATGGCAACTATGGTTGCATCTTGTGCAGTCTTTCACGAGGTCCATTTCAGAGACGACTTTAGAGCGAATGAACAGCTTGTTCGGTTCCTTTTCACTCCGTTCGTCGAGAGAAGAAACGAGTGGTATTGTTTCCACATGTTAAACATGTTTGTTAACTTAAGAATAGTTGCCTCTTTAGGTTTCATTTTTCAGTTGTTCTTTTGCTGTAGTCTTAGACCAAGATTTTTCTTACAGGCACCTTACATCGACAGGGTAGTTCTAACGATATTATGTCTTCGACCGGTGCTCCCATAAATTCAGGTTACTCTTCATTTATCTTTGCTTCTGTCTCAAAAGCCTTGAGATATGTATGATATGCATTTGATACTCGAATTTCTTGATACATAAGATGTGTAGAAAAGTACTTATATCATGTGTTGCTACTTTTTCGTTTCTTGTAGCATCGAACAAACGGACCGGTTGGTGTTTTGATGAGAAATTTTTTCTACAATCACTTTACAAGGTATGCCACGAACATCAAGTAGATAGTTGGATGATCATTCATGAATGTTACTTCCAGTTTACTTAAATGGTAGTGAATGTCAATGTGATTCTCTTGCAGGTACTGATTTCAGTATCCGATACCGGTTCCATCATCTTATACCTGAGGGACGTCGACAAGCTCCTCCTCCAATCAGAACGCTTATATGATCTGTTCCGAAAGTTTTTAGATAAACTTTCGGGTCCGGTGTTGGTACTTGGTTCCAGGATGTTGGAACCGGAAGATGATTGCAGGGAGGTGGACGAGAGGCTCTCGATATTGTTCCCGTACAATGTCGAGATAAAACCACCCGAAGATGAAAGTCGTCTCGATGGCTGGAAAGCCAAACTGGAAGAGGACAAGAAGACACTCCAAATTCAAGATAACAGAAACCACATTGCTGAGGTGCTTGCAGCGAATGACCTTGAATGTGATGATTTAGTCTCTATCTGTCAAGCAGACACTATGGTATTAAGTAATTATATTCAAGAAATTGTGGTATCAGCAATATCTTATCACTTGATGAACAATAAGGATCCCGAGTACCGAAACGGAAAGCTTGTTATATCATCTGAGAGGTAGCCATTAATTGTTTTTTCATGTTCCTTCTTCACCTTTCTCAAAAATCTGTAATTAGCTTAACATTTGTGTTTTGGCTCTGTTGCAGCTTGTCCCATGGACTCAACATATTCCAGGAAGGAAGTTGTGGGAAAGATACCTTAAAATTGGAGGCAAATGCGGATTCTCGAAAGGTTTATCTCTAATTCTAGCATGAAGGATCGGGTTGACTTTATACATGTGGATTGACCATTTACCCTTCTTTGTTAACCTTAGGAAAATGAAGGTGAAGAGACTGTAAATGAAAAATGTGAACCGAAATCGGACGCTGGTGCTACCGAGAGCAACGGTGAGACCGATAAGTCCGCTCCTGCTATGAAGAAGGATGGAGAGAACCCACCTGCACCAAAAGCTGTAAGTTGATGTTATTTGACAATTAAATGAATGTTACTATTTAGCATATGAACTTCAAGGATATGGATACTTGAAAAACAATGGAAGAATACCGGAAAGATGGCATGATTCATGTATTTGTGTCATTTCATGAAGTGTTTTTTTTTCTTTAGATGTTTCTGTTTCTTCTTACTATCGGTTTAACGCCCTTGCAGGAAGTTCCGCCTGATAATGAGTTCGAGAAAAGAATAAGACCCGAGGTTATCCCTGCAAATGAGATCGGAGTGACATTTGCCGATATCGGTGCTTTGAATGAGACCAAAGAATCACTTCAGGAGCTCGTAATGCTCCCGCTGCGAAGGCCGGATCTCTTCAACGGAGGGCTTCTCAAGCCTTGCAAAGGTATCTTACTCTTCGGCCCTCCTGGAACTGGGAAAACAATGCTTGCAAAAGCCATTGCGAATGAAGCCGGAGCTAGTTTCATTAACGTCTCGATGTCCACCATTACGTCGAAATGGTTCGGAGAAGACGAAAAGAACGTTCGAGCTTTATTTACACTAGCAGCAAAGGTGGCACCGACAATCATTTTTGTGGATGAGGTTGATAGCATGCTGGGGCAGAGGACTAGAGTTGGGGAACACGAGGCAATGAGGAAAATTAAGAATGAGTTCATGACACATTGGGATGGCCTACTGACTAAAGCCGGTGAGCGAATTCTTGTCCTTGCTGCAACCAACAGACCATTTGATCTCGATGAAGCAATAATTAGGCGGTTCGAACGCAGGTATATCTCCACTTTCGATATAACTTGCTGACAGCGAGTATGACCGACCATCTTATCTAACTCATGTGCTTTCCGTTTTTGACCAGAATTATGGTTGGCCTTCCATCCGTTGAGAGCAGGGAAATGATCTTGAGAACTCTAATGGCGAAAGAGAAAGTCGAAAACCTGGACTTCAAGGAGCTTGCAACCATGACAGAGGGATACAGTGGGAGTGATCTCAAGGTTTTTATTCTAACTCATGCCAACATTTATCATCATTAATTCATATTTAACTGTTATAAACTGATGCCATTCGTTACTGGGAGCAGAACTTGTGTGTCACGGCAGCTTATCGCCCTGTTCGAGAATTGATACAGCAGGAGAGGTTGAAAGATCAGGTGACTACTAAATCTCTTTCCGATGCATCGGCTTTCATTCGCCCCCTTTCCCGTTACCAGTAGGTGTAGACATTGGTATCTTACATTTTTTTTCTTCTCATTTTCATCAACTGTGTAGGAAAAGAAGAGGAGAGAAGAAGCAGGCAAAAGCACTGAAAATGTTTCAGAGACAAAAGAAGAGAATAAGGAGGAAAGAGTTATAAATTTGAGGCCTTTAAATATGGAAGACATGAGACAAGCTAAGAATCAGGTAACTTCCAGCCAAATTTTCTTTGTCGTCTCAAAGGATTCAATGACCCTTTTGGTATTTCGACAGTCGCACCCGAGTCCAACGGTCTTTGGACCGTGCTACACCATTACCATGCACCCTTCAATTCTCTTCAGACTCTGATTTCTCTCTTAATGTTCACCTATCTTTAAGATTTGAATACCAAACTTGGTATGAAAAGCATTGGTCCTCGAGCTAATATAACTAAAATTGTTAGCATTAACCGGAAGTTCAGGCAGTGAAATTTGAACCATATGCTTATCTTTGAGTGCTGCAATGTAGGTCGCTGCCAGCTTTGCATCTGAAGGATCGGTAATGGCAGAGTTGAAGCAATGGAATGAACTATATGGAGAAGGAGGTTCAAGGAAGAAACAACAATTAACTTACTTCCTCTAGATTCGTGGAAAGCAAAGGTTGTTTACGAAATCAATACAATAAAACGGTCTTGCCGAAGCAGCCCCTTCAACGGAAACAGAAGCATTCCCACTCCTGGTCACACACGACATAGCATCGAGATCGAAAGCTTGGTATCTGGCATTTGCACATCACGTTTCGAACAGGGTTCTTTGGCAATCAAAATCTTCGTCTATTTTCGCTGTGTTAATGTGAAAGTACGTAGTAAGTATTGGGAAATGCCTAGGGAATATGGGTTTGAGTTCTCTGTGTACTGTTTGACATTTCTGTAGATTAGAGTATAATTATATTGTCTGTTGTAGTATTATGTACGACTATATCGTATAATCTTAATAGAATATTTTATTTTCCTGTTATCACGGATTGCGTTTTCATGCAAATTTACCGATGAAAAGTAAAAATACTGCTATGTTTGATTACATAGGTATCGACACAAAATCGTCCTCTACTGTGTTTTTTTTAACATTCTAAAGTCATTGGTAACTGCCGGTAACTTTATCAGTTGATAGCTGCCGATGATTTTACCAAGATGCTGTCAGACAATTTTGGTGACAAGGATCAAAATGAGAAAAAAAGACTAAAGCAAATCATTTTAAACAGTGTGTCAAGGATCCAAAAATGGGGTCTAATTTTATTTTTAAATGACTGTTAAGATTAGCATTCTACACTGTATGAAACCCTAATTGAGATTTGTGATAAACATTCAAGTTAACTCCCCAAAACGCAAAAAAGTATAATGCAGCCATTTTTAACAGCATTCGGGACATAATATTACATAATATATGGATAAAACCTCCATGAACTCACGTCCTCACCTTTCAACATGTGACAAAACAAATGTTCTCACACACGTCTGAAATTCTGGGACCATGATATCCAGAAAACAAAGGTTATTTCTTAAATGCAAATTTTCAGGTATATTTGAGGACAAGTAGAGTGCGTAAAACTGCTAGAGAATAATCCAAAATTCATTGTTAAAGATGCAACTGAACCACAGACTAGAGAGCTGGTAACAGTTTTGGACGCTATGCAATGCTCCTCACGTATTGATCGAGAGCTGTATTAAACAACTCGCATCTGCAAGAAAAAGAGAAAAACACACACATCAAGTGTGCAGCAAAAACGAAAATAATAGTAATACAAATACTAATCCTGTTGAGGGTGGGAAAAGAAGACTACACCAAGTAACTGACTGGGGGAGAAGTATTTGAACCATGTAGTTAATGCATCTCTGTAGAGCTAACAGAATAACTTTCTTGGCATTTCACTAAATAGGAAAAATAGCACATATACAAAATTTGAAAAAAAATATATATCCAAGAATGATGCCTAAACCACGGGCTATGGTGTAGCATACTAATTTATACTGCAGCTTTCTTTTCTATACTAGTACAAAATTCCACTCATTTTATTTAAAATCTTTGTTAAAGACACTCACTGAACTGAACATCTGCCTTCATTAACCTATATTCATTAATAGCATAACCAATTTTCAAGATTAGTTGATTGGGGAGAAATGAAACTACATTAACCTGAATAATGGACTACTCAAACAGTTCCGGGCCCACTGTAGTGTAATTTTACAAATTGCGACTCCAGTTTATTACAAATTTACGAGGCACAAGTAGCACCAAAATACAGAAAAGTAGAAATAAACTTGAAGAGGGCCATACATTACACATGGGAGCACAAAACAGGAAGTCACGAATTGCTTGTTAAAAGGATGTGTAAATAAACATCAAATTCAAAAACAATGTAACCCAATTCATTTTTTTATATTCAACAGTAGTAAACATCGTAGAAACATCAGTTCCAGAGATAACCAAATATGCAAATAAGGGAGCATTGATCAACAGTGCTAACCAGTGGTTGCCGCAACAGACCAATCCTTAAAAGATAAACATGTAAGCTATGAGCTAGGAAAAAGGAAGGTTTATTTACCTGATAAGAGTCCCCGGAGTATAGAGTGCGTTCTTGGCAACATACTCAACATACAAGTTATAAATATACTTGAGTGTTTCACGAAGATCACCAGTTCTGGGATTAGTGATCAAAATGAACTGCACAAAAGGAAAAATATAGTGGCAAAGTCAGAATTCCATTGAGAAACATATATAAATCAAAGGAGGGTGGCACCAATGGTGTCAAAAACATACAGTGAAACAAAAATACTGGGTATCATAGACAATGCCAGTCAGGGTCTCGATAATAGCATGGAGCTATTTTAATTTTCCTAGTAAACCTCGTACTCACTGAAAAAGTAATTTTGAGAATGAAACACACTAAACTTCTCAGCCAACAATATGAAGTATTGGATGACACGTAGGAGCATAGATACATGATGGTCTCTACTAGTAGCACAGATACATGATGGAAATTATGTGCACAGCACTGGCTAATTAGTTTGACAAAGGAGTTCTCTAACAGATAGCTAATCAGGTTAAATCATTCTTAAGTCCTCCATTACCATAAACCACAATTCGGAACAGCCCAATCTTATAGCTCACAGCTCCATTTGGAATTACTGATGTTAGAGCTGTAGTAATCTACTAATTCACATGTGGGCAAAATATTAAGCAAATCATGGAACTTTTAAAAGAAACCTCTCAGCTAATTGCAGATTGAGGCAAACCTTAATCCCCGAAGGAGTTTCCATGAAACTAAGTTTGTAGGTGTTAGTACGGAAGCTATGGAAGGAACACCCTTGACCAGGAAACTGAGGAATCCCTAGATTTCCCTTCTCAGCGCTGCGCATAATCAACATGTTCAAAAATTATAAACCACAATAAAAAAAATGAAAACGAAGCTGGAAGAAATGAAGAGATAAGAACCGAGGTGATACTTAGTGGGATCCATTTTGGCAGTTAGGGATTTGAGAGAGAAAAGGAGACCGAACATGAGCTTGTGATCTTGTTGAGGGTTGAGGGTATGGAGAGGGCGGTTCCACTCCCTATAAAGCAAGCACACGCCGTTTCGATTGAATATGTACATCCTGTGGGCGTTGTTCCCGGTCGCCGTCGGCACCGGCGGTGATGGACTGATTTCTGATCCTCCAAAGAACTGCATTCTCTCTTTCTTTCTAGATTTTTTCTTTTTTCACCGGTGTTTTGTTTCAGATCTGATCTATAATAAGCGTGTGTTTGGAATTAGGACCCGTGATTATCCTTTGCGGTGTACTAAACATATGGTTAAGTTCAAAATTAAATTATTTTCAATTTGAAAAGTATTCAATTTCAAAATTTTAATAACTTGAACTATTTAAATAAGATGGATTCGGTTTTATTTTTATTTTTTTTATATATTAATGTGGCGTTTGGTTGGCATGAATCTATTGGAATTGGTGAGAATTGGAATCTAATTTCACCACTTTTCCATGTTTGATTCAAGTTTTCCAATAAAATTGAAATCCCTCGTGACTTCAACTTTCGATCAAACGAGACTCCATATGTGACTCAATAAGAATATGGTGATAGCAAGAACTGAATTGTAAAGCTAATGGCTCTATCGAGAGGGCTCGTATTGTGGTGAAAGGTTTCACACAAACCTATGGTATAACATGATTATCTCGGGACGTTTGTTCCTGTGGCCAAACTAAATTCAATTCCACATGAGTCATTCTGTCAGTTGCAGCTAACAGATCTTGGTCACTGCATCAGCTCGATGTCAAAAAAAAAAAAGGTCTTTCTTCATGTAGACCTCCATGAATAGGTTTATATCAGTGACTCCTCCACCAGGTTTTCGGGCTCAGGGGTAGGAGGGAAAGTTTTCAGGTGAAAAAAGGCGATTGATCTCAAGCATTCTCCTCAGGCTTGCTTCGAGATATGAAGTTTGGTTCTGACGAAGATAGATGGGTTTCCAGAGAAGGAATGTTGATCATTCCGAGTTCATAAAAAGGAAAGTGATATTCTCCCCAAAAGCAGTGAGCTTATGAGGTACCGATCAAATCAAATAGTAGAAAATGACGCCCTTTTTCTATTATTTGGATAAGGCCTTCCTTTTTGACGAAAACCAACCCTATAAGAAAGAAATGGGGAAACCCCCGGAACTATGCCTGTAACCCGTCGACCCAGATCTAACAAATTCGAGAGATCGAGAAGGTTGGGAACATGAAACTCTTCGGATTGGCCACTTAATATAAGAACCAATGACATAATCAAAGCGCGCATATTGGAAGGTTGGAAAGCGGACTTCGAAGCAGATAGGTCAAAAAGCAAGAGCAATTCTCCGTTTCCCCATCTAACAACTTTACTGCAGAAGTCCTTTCTACTCCTATCCCTCCGGTAGGCGAAATATTTATTTGTTGAATAATGAAAAGAGCAGTGGAGAAGCCCCCCAGAGACATAAGAACAAACTCATCTATCCTCAAGCTCCATATAAATAGAAAAAATATGATCAGGCAATCCAGTCCGAGATAGGAGATTAGAATCATATATGGCCTGAGAATCTCTAACGGTGTTATGATATTGCACAATCATCAAAACGATGTCATTTTGAAAGACTCAAATATACACAAAAATGACGTTTCGAATCTTCTTCTTTTTCCCATTGTCGCCGTTGGTCACCACGTCATTTTTTATTCCAGCCACAGTCGATCGTCGTTGATGTTGGTTGTTCGGTCCTAAAATTCATGGATCGGTTCTTCTCGACCCCTAAACCTGAATTTAATGGTTGCTTCGCTAGAAAATGTCTCAAAATTCATAAATCTCGAATGAAAACGTTTCAGCTTCCTCACTTTCAACATTCGATTCGTGGACTTTGGAGCAAATTTCGATAAAATAGAGGTTGAATTCAGACTCAAGGTGTCGAGACAAAATGACCCATAAAATTTGAGATCGAAAGGTCACCGTCTACGACGATCGACGGTGGTTGACGATGTCATTTGACTACCTTTTGTTTTTATTTTATAATTGGGTGAACAAAATAGAAGAGAGAGTTAACGACAAAGTGAGCAAAATGATTTAATTTGTAAAGTTCAGTGAGCAAAATAGAAAATTTAAAAGTACGATGAGCGAAATAAAAGAGAGAGTAAAGTTCAATAAAGAACGGTATAATTTATCATTCTATAATTCGATCTATGCTATTATTAAGTCCTTAATGGGATTACTATTAAGTCCTTAATCGGATTATTGTACATGTGTACATTGAGAGATGAGTTATGATAAATGTTATATGCGTCTTATACAATTTTACTACAATACCTTCCCAAAAATACAGTACTTGATTATTAGGAGTTCAAACCGAATAAAATTACTTCAACCAATTTTGATTCAGCTTTATTACGATTGTCAAGTTACTTGTTTGTTTATTTGGGAGCTCGTCTCTTGTTTTAACGTGCGGTTTTTTTAACTGTGTTTATTAGGTACTCTTAGATTTTTGGATAAAGTACACAAATAATCTTTTATCTAAATATATTATTTTATTTCGATTATTAAAAGGTAAAAATAATCACTCGAATATTTATTATATTCCAAACTCATATTCTTCTGTTAAAATATTAGTGGTTATCTTAATTGAACGTTAACATGACCATTACGATATGATAGTCGTTTGAAATTATAAGATTATATTACACTTAAATGGTTAAAATTTAGTTTAGAATACCGTCAATTTTTTAACAAAAAATGATGTGTTTGATACATAATAAATAGTCGGATGATCATTTTATAACTTTTAATAATTGATGACTCAACAAAAACAACACTCTATAATTGAAGGACTATTTTATAACTTTTAATAATAGATGAGCTTAATAAAGAAAGTAACCTATAGTGAAAATACCATTTGTGTACTTTACCCTAGATTTTTTATACCCAACGAGTAACAAAACCCGCATCAACAATGTAATAACCTTGTAAAAAAATATTCAAAGCTGCGGCAACATCCAGCTTTCCATCTTTCCCCTGAAAATAACCAGCGCTGGTTTCAGAGGGTAAGCTGACCTAAAGACAGAATGGAAACAAGGTTAAATTGGCTCTGTGGATTAAAAGATCCAGTATTTGCCAATCGATTCAATAGGCGAAATGTTAAAGCTTCATGCAGTACAACAATCAGAACACACTAATAAAGAATTAGAAGTATTTTCTTAGAGGCCAAAGCTTATAGGACAAGAAAATTTGGTGACCTGTGTCATTCAATATTATTAGCAACTGAAAGGTTCTAGTCCAGCTTTTATCTTAGGTTAAAGTCCAACTCCACCAGTGGTAACAGGCACAATACAAGATTAACGAACACAAAAACAAAGCAATCTCAATTCTCAAAACCTTACCGCCTTCACCAAGCTACTCCTTTATCTGTGGCTCTCCGGGGTGATTTTAGGCTCGTCCTTCTTCGAAACAGCTTCTAACGTCTTGTAAAACTCCTCCGGAAGAGGACTGGGTCGGTGTAGAGGAACGCGCTTGGGAACTGGAGCATTGTTTTCGATAACCTCGCAATCGTAGTCATCGGGAACACCCCAGGGATCCCACTCTGCGGCCCATCGTAACAGAGAACAGACATTAGGACTAAGAAAATAGCAAAATATCATAAATCTTGTTGCAATTTTCTTTCAATCAAATGCTTGCAACAAAAGGAAACTTAATTGGACACAAGAGAACAACTCATAGAATGTCAAACAACCAAGTAAGGAATTGGCGAAAATGCAATTCTCAGCATATATAAAAGACGATTAATATTAACTAAATTTATATATGTTAACCCTATGAAATAGATGCATATCCATCTCCCTAAGAATTCTCAGCTGGTACAAGTTTAATGGACCCAGATTTTATAGTAGAAAAACTGGAACAATCATTAAAACAAAGAAAACATCTGATAGAATGGCTGACCTAACGATAAGATTGAGCTTCATCAGCTCGGGAAAAGAGAGATGAAATGGTGCAAACCGATCATTTAGCCGATGAGAGTGTCGTCACGCGCTTCCTAGATTAGCTCCTCGACCTGGCCACATCCGAGGCGTTTCTCGATCATTTCCCAGTCTTCTTCCTCCTGGCAGACCTTGAGACGGTGGCGCGTGAAGCTTTCAACGGTCTTACGGTAGCCCTCGTCTTCAGGAACGGCCAGGATCTCCTTCAGGGTCTTGGTGTAAAGACCGATGAGGACTTCCCTGGCGTTGGGTACCACGTATAGTCCGACGATCCCCGTCGTCTCTTTCACCTTCGCCAACAATGGCCGCGAGATCAATCGCAGGAACACTTTTAGACTTTTACCTATTCGTTTTCCCCTCTGATTCCCTCGTTTCTTTCGGATGTCCTGCTTTGCTTTCAGGTGAGTTATATAGTGGATATATCGTGCTATAAATCTCAGCCGACTATTCCTACCACATAATCGGACGGCTTCACTCTCATCCGGGTGATTTTCGAAGTCTTGATTAGTACTTTGGGCCGAAACACGAGCACAGCCCACCATAGTATAAAGTAATATCTACAGTGCTTCTTTTTCATTAGGGTAAACTACGCATATAGTACTTAAACTATTAATTTTAGTTTGTTTTAGTATCTAAACTTTTAATTTTTTTATAAATCATACATAAGGTTTAGTTTTTGTTTCATTTTAGTACCCACCGTTAAAAACTCAACGTGTTTAGCGCCTAAACAATCAGTTTTGGTCTATTTTAGTTCCTAAAATTTTAATTTTTCTAAAAAAATAACTTTAAATTTTGAAAGAAGGTACTAAAATGAAACAAAAACTAAACTTTAAGTGTGATTTTGAAAAAATTAAAAGTTTAGGTACTAAAATGGACCAAAACTGATATTTAGTTACTAAACGCATAATTTACCCTTTTTTATTTTGTCACTACAATTTGGGACAAATAATATTCATGTTTACAATAAAAAAAATTAATTGCTCCAACTTTAGAAAATAATACATTATTTATATATTTAAAGACACTTTTAATAGTATATTTCTTTTTAACTAGTTAAATTAAAAAGATTTTAACTAGTTAAATTAAAAAGATTTTAACTAGTTAAATTAAATATAATGCATAATGCCTAAATAAGTGCCTAAATTATATCTTTTGTGCTAAATAAGTGCTTACATTTTTTGCTCACCTGGGTGTTTAACGTTACAAATGTTAGCACTTTAGATGTCGGAGTCGTCAATAGTGTTAGTTTTTACCGTTAAATGACACATGTCATAACTGGTAATTTTGAAATTTATTTTAAAAAATATTAAAAATATTATTATATTTATAAAAAAAACTCTAACTTATATTATAAAACAACCCGAAATCCCAAATCCTAACCTTAATCTGTCATCTCTGGCCATGACCATCGCCGCCGACGTAGTCTTTGCCATCATCCTAGTCATATGTCGTAGTAGTTGTCACAATTCACCGTCGGAATCGTGATTTTCATCCATTTGCGGGATTTAAAACATTGATTTGCCATCAATCGATCGTCAACCGGTGATGATTTCATAAGGGTTTTGGTCGCCGAGGGGAGGGGAGGTTGGGTGGAGCTTCTTCGACGGCAAAGGGCAGCGGTTGGCGTGGGTTTAAGGGTTGAAATGAAGGTTTTCAAAGTTTAGGGGTTATTTTAAATTTTTTGTGTTTTCTTTTTTAAAAATATATAATTCAATTTTTTAAAATTTTATATAAAAATTAAAATTATCAGTTTATGACACGTGTCACTTAACTGGAAGAACTAACAACGTAACGGCCCGGGTATTAAGCACCCGAATGGGCCAGAAAATGTAGGTACTTATTTGACATAAAATGTATAGTTTAGATACTTATTTAGGTATTAAGCCTAAAGATAATTATACGCCAAAATACGTTTGAGAATTTTTAAATTATTACGTAACAAAAACATGAATTCAACTAAGTTTGAATACACGTGTTATATATGATTAAAATATTAATATTCATAAAATAAGTTTGACCAATTTTTAGAAAACAAATAAGAAATATTTGACCATGAAACCGATCCACCTAGGCAAACTCCCTTCCGCCCCTGTGAACACACATGAAATAGAGAAGAGAATATCTTTGCTTTTTGTCCCGTGACAAAGGATCCCCCAACCGGACACGATTTCATGGTCTGAAATTAAACTCGATAATAAATACAGATTTACGATAGTAGTATTCCATAAAATATTTCAAGTACTAAATTATTTTTTATAAATTATATTAATTATTAATTGATCTAATTAAAAGTATTATAATTTTTAGCATAAATAAGAGTAATATCTAATTTATATTAAAAATAAATAGATTATTTAGAAAAACCTCGAAAGTAATGCAAATAGAATATTTTGTTTGCACGAAATTAAAGGTATAAACTAAGCTTTCTCTTCTGTATTATTAATCTTGTCGAAGCATTAAAGAGGATAACTGAGGTCAAGTTCCCGAAACTTTCGAGTATTCTTAGTTTCTCTGTTTCAAAACGAAGGGGAAAAAACTACTACCAACTTTGCAAAATAGAGGTCGAAAACCAGACTATCAGCCACGACCAGCGGTGCCTCCGGAGGCGGAGTTACCGCTGCACCAAGAAGAGAAGTTGCCACCAAAGGCCGGCCAGTTAGGTTCTAATCCACTACCAGAACTACTGCTACCACCAGCACCACCCAGGAGTTCTCCCATTCTTTCGAGAAGATCTTCATTGACATGCGAGTTGGGGATCAAAATAACATCTTCATCATCATCGATCTCTACAACAGGAGGCGTTTCAAGAGCCCTGTTTTTATCGTTTTCACCTTCTTTAACTCCATTATCGCCCGCGTTTTGCATGGTGTCGGCGGCATCTCCGTCTTCAGGAGCCGAAAGTGGCGTCGTTGGAGAGATGAAAGAGGAGGAAGAAACATTGGCGGCGGCCTTCGATAGTTTGCTTCTTCGAGTAGGCTTGCTGTGAGTGTGTTCGTCGGTGTAGGCAACAATAAAGCTGTCGGGGTCCAAACTGCTACGCTCGACGTGTTTTCTCGCCGAGCACCCTTTTGAGTTGCTGCACCTGTAGTAGTGTCTGAAGAAACCAAGATTTTATAATCACAAACCAAAAAAAAAAAAGAAGGCATTGGAGGGCACGGAAATTGATTCAACCTTGGGTTGGGGGAGCCTTTGATGGGCTTTTGTCCGTATTTACGCCATGACCATTGATCAGTAGACAGATTATCACCCGTTACATGGCATACAGTACTCGGCTGGTTCCTCCTGCAAAAACCAGAAGACAAAATGGACGGTTTGGTTTTTAAACTAACAAAGAATTGCAAAGCTTCAATCTTTTGAACAAATGATCACCTCACCTCCTTCTTAATCTTGGAACCTCCGGATGTTGAACTCTTTTTTTCGACCGCTTCGGTTGAGGTGGTCGCTGGTTCACAATTTGACCACAAGTGAAAACCGGAACTCGGCTCGTCGTAATGGTGGCCGGTTCTTGTTGTTGCTGCTGTTGAAACTGATGGTGTTGAAGTTGAACAACTCGCTTTCTAGACTTCTTCGGTCGAGGTGGACTCTGGTTTAGAAACTGATCGAAAGTGAAAACAGGAGCTAGGTTCGTCTTGACGGCGAACTGTTGTTGTTGTTGCAGCAGCAGCTGGTGTTGTAACCGATAATGTTGGCCAATGTATCCACCCTCAACGGGCCCCAAAAAGCACGGATCTCCGCCTCGATAATTGCCCACGATGGTGGGGTCAGCTTGTGTCAAAACGGGCTCCTGAGAATCTCGTAAAGAACGGTAAGAACCACTTTTACTTTGATTAGGAAATGGAAACGGGTCAGCTTCTTGCTCAACCGCCAATGAGGGCAAATAAGCCAAAGGGTCATCGTTGCAACCGCTGCTGTTCCCTTTCGAGGAAAGGTTGGTTGCTACGCTGGAGCTGGCGGTGTTCCTGGTTGACTTGCAACTCCTCACCACCGCAAAAAGATCCCATTCCGCAGCCATTTTTCCGTCGAGCGGGAAGGAAATAGAGGCCCGGAAGAGAGAGAAGGACGGCGCTGACTTTCGGTGGAAAAGAGAGGAAATCAACAGAGAGAAAAGGAAAGGGAAGGGAGCATAAGACAGTTAGAAATAGAAAGAAAAAGAGAAGAAATGGTGGTGCACTTGACTTGGTAATTGTTTATTATTTATACAGGTGAGACGACAGACAAATTTTGGGTGTTACGTTTTTATCTATCTATGGGTATCTAGTTGCTGACGTAATAATTAAGAAGTTTTCGGTGAAATAAAGTTTGGATTACCATTATTCACTAATTTTTTATTTTATTATTGACTTCAGAATATCCCTGCATATATAGAGTGTTTGAATTTGAAATTTCAGCATCAATAACCAGTTTCCATGGTAGACGAAGTGTTATGATTCTTTTAGATCTTAAGTTCGAACATCATAAATATCAGAAATTTTTAATGTCAACTGGTTGAAATATATCTTTAAATAAATAATATTTTATATTTACATCAGATTAATAAAAAAAATTAAAACCTCAAGACATGATAACAATTTCTTAAATTATCATTTGATTCGGTACGATTTGATTTATTCTCTTATATAAATAAACCAATATTCTTTTGTAACTAGTGTATTAAAATTGAGTCTTGTGGATTAAAAAATATTATTAAAGAATTTTATCTTTTGTTTAAGATGTTTTATATTATTTTTTAAAAAGTATTTAGATTAAATTTGATATGATCTAATAAGATTCGAATGAAATCTAACTACATATTTTGATACGATCTAACGGTAAGATTTGAATAAAATGTAACGTAATTCGAATAAAGAATAACTCTAATTAAATGCTCTAATACGATCAAATTGTAATATTCTATCCAACGATAATTTGAATCGAGAATAATTTCATACACATGTCCGAATACGACCTAGTTTAAAGATTCGAATATGATCTAACGGTATTAGAATAAAAATGAAATATATTAATATATTGACACTATCTAACTAAATTCGAAAAATGAATGAATTGAACTAAGAGATCGTTCAACCGAATATTTAATATTATATTTATCTGAGTTTCATATAAATATTAATTTTTTTTATAAGATTTGAGTTGAACTATATAAGATTTGAGGTTTCTGAGTTTCATTATCCCTCACCTTCGCTTTTGTTTGAGTATTTCTATTGTACGATAGTTTAATATAAAACTAAGAAAGTACATCATCAGAAATATTAATTTTTTTTATATTTTCAATAGAACGTTACTTAAAATGTTATTTTTTTCTATCAAAAATGTTAATTTCGTTATCTAAAATGAAAATTAAAAATTGAAAAATATGCGTTACATTTAATGTGTCACATATACACATATTTACTTTTTTATCATATCCAAAATTCTAAAATATACCTCCAATGGCTCACTGATTTTTAGATTTTGCATTAAATATCAAATGACTACATTATTTACCCGTAAGGATGATAATAAGGTTGAATCCATTGAATTTTTTATCTTGATTTCAGAACGAGTTACGTGGAAAATAAACTATATAAAATAAATTTCAAAATTGTTTGTCAGTATTATATTGTCTTGAAAAAACATCCATGTTTTATAATATAATACATTTATTTATAATTATTATTACAGAAAATGATTCATTTTTATTAATCAAATTAGATATATACGAAAAAAAATAATATATATATTTTTCAAAAGTAATTTTTAGTGGAACGCATTTTCAATGAAACATATCAAATTACCAATAAAATTTGGAATGACAAAGTCGAGAAAAGCCAAGGATAGACAAATTTGCTTGTATGGGACGTTGGAAAAATAATAAGCTCATATATGGTCACACGGTTGGAATGCTAAGATTACCATTGTAATAAAACATAAGACGCACTCTAATCGTTGCGCCTTTCCAAGGAGATATTGTGTTCCGGTGTCTCATCCAACGAGCACAATAAATTCACATTAAATCAACTCAAGTAATTATTTATTAAATTAGGATGTTTTAAATAATAATTTAGAGAAGATCTGATTAGATATATTTTTTATGTACATAATATTTTTATTAGTATGTGATGATTACATTGTAGTATTTGTTTAAAAAAATTAAAAATAAATAATTTTTATGTACATAATATATCATCATCAAATTGACATTTTACATGTTTTTCCGTTTAATCTTCTTGAATACTCCATTCAAATAAATTCGAAAGAAAAAATTAATTTTTTCTATAAGTTCTAACGAAAATAATTAAATTGTCAATCAAATAGTATTAAATGATAATATAAGAGAAATATTTTTAGTACAAGTGTTGATTTTTTGTTAGAATTATTTTATAATATTAATATATTGTATTTAAATAAAAAAATAAAATTATTTAACCATGTTAATATTTGAAGGTAGGGAATGAATCACGTGCATAAACGGATGGTCTTATTATTGGTCTGTAGACCTTGCACGATGAGTAGGTGTAACCCCTACTTACGGGTAAAGCCCCTTGCAACATGTGGTTGAGCCTATACGTACAATTCTGGCTCTTAACATGAGTTTTGGATGTTGATGTGAAGTGGTATTGTTTTAATTAAATTAATCGAACTGGATTAGTTTAAATTAAATGATTAATCTTTAAATTAGTCCGATTGAAGAATTATTATATTTTTTAATATTTGATTAAAAAATACTTCGGTATAAATTGATTAATTGAAAATGTTAAAATATATTATATGTATGAAGTACATATTTTAAGCTAAAAGTCATTAAAAATTAAGACTCAATTATTTATTAACCACAATAAACCTATATCAAGATCTAATTAAATTTTAACCCAAATAAAAAATACCTCTATTAAACTCATTTTAATCTAATTAAAAAATAATTATAAAAAATTCGGTTAATTTGACCACCGACTGAAATAATCAAATTATTAATATTTTAAAAAATCGATTAGAGATTAAAGAAAAAGTTTAATTAATTCAATTATTAGAAATTTGATTTTGTCGATGGCCAAATTAATCATTTGAAAGCCCCTAGATGCGGTGAGAAAAATTGTAGGGTTTCATACGATTGTCTCGACTGCAAGGATGAAGCTTTGTTGCTCGACCCTGTAAAATTTTTATATATTCAAAAGATGTTGGTCTAATAGTGTTTTAACGTATGTAAAAGTAAGTATTCATATTTAAAAATACGATAGGTTAAATATTTAATCAAGTAGGGGAATAAATAAAGAAGTCTGATTTAATGTTCTCAAATTTTTTTTGTCTAATAATAATTTACATCATTGTAAGTTTAAATATTAGACAAATTAAATATTACCTTATGAATTTTGAGTTTAAATATTTAATAAATCACTATATTTTTTTAAAAAATTTAATATTTTAATCTTTATCAATATTTAATCGTAGTTTTGTCCACCTCGACTGCAACTCGAACCGAGCTTTGGTGCCTCTAGCGCATGATGGTCTAAACTCTAAAGTGCTCATGCTCTGTTGCCCGGTCTAGAGTTTGAATCCAAGACCTGGTTCTAGCATGCACGTACGACAAAACTATTACTCGAAAAGAGTGGAATGGCATATATTGTGACATAATATTATGACACGGTTTTGGCAGGAAGCCCTTTAAATTGTATGCAACCCATCCCACTAGCACCGTATTTTCTAAAAATACCGTTTTCATAGTTTATCGATTTATTATTATTATTTATTAAGTTTAGAATTATTATAAATTAATATATATTTTAAATACTCTCAATTCTCCACCATTTGATAATAAACACTCAATTACTTTGCTACAGTCGTTAGTGCTCGAACTCGTGACTTCTACGAACAACAACGATTCCTTTAACCACTTAAGTAAGTTGGCTCGTGTTTGTCTATTTATTATTTTGAATTTAGATATCATCAAGAGTTAAAATTTTAAGATTATAAATGAATTAAATCAAATTTAAAGACTTATCTTATAATACATATTTACAATAGATTACAAAATATTTTTACTTAATACTCATAAATTTGATTAACATTAAATTTATCATCTTACCCTTTTTGGAACCCTACTTGTTCTTACCTTTTCAAGCAAGGCAACAATGTCGCCACGTGTTTTCTTTCTTCTTCCACCTGTATAGGATTACACGACTATGATTTCATAGTTTATTGGTCAGTTTATCATCTAACATCTGGGCAAATGGTTTACCTTATAATTGCTTTGGTGGGTTCAAGAACCGATAATTTGCTTCACTATCTGTATGGTACAATAATGTCTGTGACTTCTGCTTTCCTCTTATTAGCCACTATGCTGTGGAAAATTAAAGGGTAAACTACGTATTTAGCATATAAACTATTAGTTTTGATATATTTTAGTATTTAAACTTTTATTTTTTTTCAAAAATCGTACTTAATGTTTAGTTTTAATTTCATTTTAGTATCTCCGCTATTAAAAATGTAACGTGTTTAGTACTTAAACTATTAGTTTTGACCCGTTTTAGTACTAAAACTTTTATTTTTTTCAAAATTTAATGTTAAATTTTGAACAACAATACTAAAATAAAACATAAATCAAACTTTAGGTATGATTTTGAAAAATTAAAAGTTTATGTACTAAAACGGATCAAACTTTGGGTTAAAATGGTGAGAATGTCATTACCTTCAAATTATTAGGTAATGAACAATTCCCACCACTTTAAACATAAATACCCCTGAAATAATATTTTTTTTCATATGAATTCTTCTTAATTATTATTCTTCGAGCTTTACTCAAAACTATAAACTTAATAATAATACTATACAAATAGTTTAATTTAATAAAATGTTAATAAATTTAAGTATGAATTAATCAACTCTTTGAAGTCGCATTTGCCTGATTTCATAGGCCTTTCTAGACGTTTTAAGATGATTGGAAAAATACATGGATGTCAAATATATGATGATTATGCACACCATCCAACCGAAGTATATTGTGTCCTTCAAGCACAACGATAGAGATTCCCATCGAAGAGACTGGTAGCGGTGTTCCATCCTCATACATACAGGCATTTACTTGAACAAAACATGAATGGTGAATATCCTTTTTTTTTACCATTTAGAAGACTGAATTTTGGTCGGTTTTGCAGTCGTCTAGCAGCATTCGAGGACGACTTCGCTGTTGCATTAAGTTATGCAGATCATGTTGTGAACATCACGATTCATTATGCCAGGTTTTGTCCGTCCGAGAAACAGGTCCTTGGAATGTTTGTGGAAAGGATTTAGCTACCTTCATAGTCGGTCCTACATCCGAATACATTCCAGCTCTGGTAGTACAAAACTTTTACATTCCAGCTACACTCGTCTGAAAATTGAGTTCTAATTGTTAGTCTTATCTAAATTTGTTTTTAAAAGTTCCGATTCTTAGCTCCCTGGCTGTTTACAGGACGATGTGGTCGATAAACTAGCACTCGAGATATGCAAGGACCCTTCGTTATCTTGACCCTCGGAGGAGTTAAATCGATCCCTACGTTGATTGGTTTTAAATGAAAAATTAATCCGAATTTAGACGCACTTTTACTTTACAAATAAATCAGGTACTATGAATACAGTTGGCCCTAAATTGCTGCATGAATTGCAAAAGAGACTGTGCAAAGCAGAATCTAAAGCAGAAGCGGCCATCCTGGCATTGCATCATGAGTCTTGAGCTCTGGATGGAAAAAAGGTGAACTCCAAAGCCTATGGTTTTCATGTAAAAGAGGATTGCTTTATCTGCAACTACTGATTTGAAGTATGAATGTTTTGGTCCTGGATGAGTTGATGACTTCTTTAGGAACCAAGTTGATATGCAGATTACTTTAGTGTCTAAAACTGAAATATTTTAAAATTTAATGATGAAATTGATATACAAGTTAAAGTTCATAGGAAGAAACTACCACATCATCACTAAATTAATGATTTAACTTCCCAATTCCTTAATTGAAAATGAATCTGAGGTTCAACGCTAAAATGAATTAATTTAAAATTCAGTGGTAAAAACACTATAAATCTTAAAGTTTTGTGACAATTGAGGCAGTTTGCCATATTTTCAGAATTAGTTTCATATCTGCAATCGCAATTCGGAAAATCGGAAAAAAAAATCAATTTCGAGTCATTTGAGTCGACTCGAATTATAAATTCGATTTTCGAGTTCGAGTTCAAGTCGAGTTTAAATTTTAGAATTTCGAGTTAATCAAAAAATTGAAAATTTGAATCAGTATTTTGACAGTTATACGATTTAGTCTATGATTTCATTATTCATTTAATTCCTCTTTCATTTTAAGTCAATTTTTACTAAATTTGAACCACATACTCATATACCACAATAGAATAACTATGTAACTTCAATTCTTCTTTTTGACAATAAATTTTTTATTTTTTAATTTAGTCCCTCAATTTTCCATAATTTCCTTATTTCTTCAATTCATCCTTTATTTTAAGTATTTTTTTACCAAATTTAAATCACAAGCTAATATACCACAACAGAATATTATGTAACTTCAATTTCTACTTTTTTTACTAAAAATGTACTCTCTTTTTTATTTAGTTACTTACCTTTACATTTTACTCAATGTTGTATTTTGTCTACAATTCCTTTATACTCTCATTAATATTTTATCCTCAAAATACTTTCTTTGAAATATAACATTATGAATATATTTTATTATTTTTTATTGTACTTATATATTAAATAATATTAAAATGTGAAAAGAATAATATATATATATAGAGAGAGAGAGAGAGTCGAAAGATTGAAACAAATCTTTGATATAATACTATAAATAATTATAATAAAATTAGTATAGAAACTCAAATAATTCAACTAGAGAAAATTTTAATTTAAGTTCGAGTTGTAAAATAATATTCGTCAACTCGAATAATTTGAATTTTTTAACTCGACTCAATTAAATGTTCACCCTTATTTGCAATCTCATCCGTCGAAACAGTAGAAATCTAATCGGACAATCAGTATTATCTGGGCCTTTTGAGCCTACATCGATATCCATCTCATGTTCGTTGCCGAATGGCATGACATCATCTATGACAACGTGTACATCGTTGTTTCCGGTCAAAAAGTGTAAACTTGCGTTTAGTACATAAACTATATGTTTTTGTCTGTTTTAGTATCTTAACTTTTAATTTTTTAAAATTATACCTAAAGTTTAATTTTTGTTTAATTTTAGTATGTCATTCAAAATTTAAACACTAAGTTTTAAAAAGATTAGAAGTTTAAGTATTAAAACAGACAAAAATTGATAGTTTATGTAATAAATGCATTATGGGTTTGTTTGTTTCCCTGTAATTGGTTTCCGAAAAATGTTTTCCTCATTTTCCAGTGTTTGGCTGACAGAAAACATATGGTCAATATAATTCATTTTCTTGGTTAACTGAATTTCATTTGCATTTTCTGAAAAAATGACTTACCATTTGTTTTTCGTAAGTCATTTTACGAACTTTTCACTTTAAAGCATAAACACTCAAAACATTATTATTTTATACATATAATATTAATATATTATTTCAATATCATTTTAATAAAAATATTAATTATTAAATTATATTTATTGATAATTTTAATAATATATAATATATTGTATTGTTATAATTATATTATTATAATATATGCTATTATACTTTTATTTTAATAATATACAAAAAATTATTAATAAAATTAATATTATTTCTTAATTTCATAATTTTTATGGAATTATTGAATATTTAATATATACTCTTTAAAATATAATATAATATAATATTCTTATATTAATATTTTAATAATATTATTGTTTTAATAAATAATTAATATAATTTATAATTATTTTATTTTAATAAAATATAATAATGGTAATATTTTCATTTATAAAATTATAGATATAATATTATAATAATAGTATGACATAAATAATATTAAATAAATTATTCTAATATTTTAAAAATAATAATATTAATTTGTTAATAAATAATATTATTCATTGTATTTGAGGTTTATAATAAATAATTTTAAAAATATTTACCTACCAGTGAAAAATGAATTATACAACATCATTTAAACATCATAAAATAATATCTAAAAATGTTTTTTTATAAAAAAATAATTCATTTTATTAAATTTATTTTCCTTAAAACAAACGTAAAATATGTTAGATTTGTCTAGAAATTAAGTTGACAAGTTGGAAATTTCATCTTGGATGGTGGCCAACTTATTGGAAATTTCATCTTGGTTGGTGGCTAAACTTTGAACATGTGAATTTCATATTTGGTGGCTAACTTGTACACATTGGAAAATTCTTTGGTAAGTGGCCAAACTTTGAACATATTGTTTTTGAAACTCAACTATAAATAGGCCTAAGTATTTCCATTAGAAATCATCCCAAAAAAACAAGTCACTCTTCCCCTTGTATTATTTATTCTCCCACTCTGGGAATTCTAAAGAATTCCATTTGTTGTAATATTGGCGATATAGTGAAGTTATCATCCGGTGTGGTACTCGAGGAGTAGACGATATTCTCGTCACCTCGTAAATTTGGTGTGTTCTCTCCTTTATTGTTTTTTATTCGGTTCTTTTCATTGTGTTTCAATATTCAATAGTTTGACAGGTTTATCCGCTGTGCAACCTTTGGTGGTTTTGATCTTGACATTTTAGGTCAATTTTGAAACTACGTTCGTGTGGGAAATAACCCGATTTCCCCAACAATTGGTATCAGAGCTTCGGTTGAGGTTATCCTGGTGGTTCCGTTGCTGAAAAGATATAGTTCGTGATATTGAATATTGTTCGTTAGAATTAAAATGCCAAAATACGGATTAGTTGAGACATCAAGCTCTTCATCTGGACCGGTGAGGAGGGTGATGTCAAATGTAAATTTCTCGGTGGAGTTGTTCGATGGATCCGATCATTTTGGCATGTGGCAAGGCGAGGTGTTAGACGCTTTATTCCAACAAGGTCTAGACATCACCATTGAGGAAGAAAAGCCCGAATATATGGAGGAGAAATAATGGGGAACAATCAATCGTTTGGTGTGTAGCACGATTCGATCTTGTCTTTCCAGGGAGCAGAAGTATGGCTACAAGAACGAGACTTCTGCAAGTAAGATGTGGAAAGCTTTGGAGGAAAAATTCCTGAAGAAAAGCTCTCAGAATCGTCTCCATATGAAGAAAAGATTGTTCAGATTTGATTATCAACTAGACACCAGTATGAATGAACACATCACTGCGTTCAATGAGCTAGTGGAAGACTTATTGGGCATGGATGAAACCTTCAAAGATGAAGATTTGGCTTTAATGTTGTTGTCATATCTTCCAGATGAATTTGAGCACCTTGAGACAACGTTACTTCATGGTAAGGATAATGTTACCCTTAAAGATGTAACTGCTGCTTTGTATAGTTATGAACTCATGATGAAAACTAAGAAGGAGAGCAAGTACGAAGCAGCATAGGCCATGGTGGCAAGAGGTCGCTTGAAAAGTCAAAAGCCAAAGTGGAGAGGGAGATCAAAGTCGAAGTCCAGACTGGGAAAAGATGAATGTGCCTTTTGTCATGAGAAAGGCCATTGGAAGAAAGATTGTCCGAAGCTGAAAAAGAAAGGAAAAGCTGCTCCAGATGCATGTGTTGCAGAGCATGATGCACATGACTCTGACATATCATTGGTTGCTTCATCAACAACATTCCATTCCGATGAGTGGATATTAGATTCGGGTTGCACCTATCATATGTCCCCTAATCGGGAGTGGTTCTTTGATTTAGTGGAACTAAATGCAGGAGTTGTTTATATGGGCAATGACAATGCCTGTAAAACTGTTGGGATAGGTTCAATTCGATTGAAGAATCAAGATGGATCAACTAGAGTTCTGACGGATGTCCGATACGTGCCCAGTTTGAAGAAAAATCTCATCTCATTGGGAGCCTTAGAATCCAAAGGCTCAGTAGTCACTATGAGATATGGAGTTTTAAAAGTCACATATGGCGCACTTGTGATGATGAAGGGCATCAGGAAAAATAATTTGTATTACTACCAAGGTAGTACAATTATTGGAGCAGTTGCAGCAGCTTCCGGAGGTGATGATTTGGACGCAACCCAGTTGTGGCATATGCAGTTGGGACATGCTGGAGAGAAATTCTTGCAAATTCTGGCAAAAAAGAAAGGATTGTTGAAAGGTGCAAAAGCTTGCAAATTAAACTTTTGCGAGCATTGTGTTCTGGGAAAGCAGAAGAGAGTGAAGTTTGGCACCACTATACATAATACAAAAGGTATTGTAGATTATATTCACTCAGATGTATGGGGTCCTTCAAAGACATCGTCTTTGGGAGGAAACCATTATTTTGTAACTTTTGTAGATGACTTTTCCAGAAGAGTTTGGGTGTATCCGATGAAGTCTAAAGATGAAGTGCTTCAAATTTTCCTGAAATGGAAAAATATGATCGAGAACCAGACTGGTAGAAAGATCAAACGTCTTA